TCCCCTGCAGTGGCCTGAGAAAGAGTTTTTTTCTGTTGAAGGAAGAAGCTGGGGACAGAAACCATACATTTGATCCAGAAAGCATCCCCAGCTCTCTTACCACCCCTCAGATGCCCCCATCTCCAAGCTGGGAGAGGCTAACCAGACAATGTTAAGGGAATCTAGACTATATTCTGCAGCCCAGAGATGCTGCTGCTGCTGCTGCTGCTGCTGCTGCTGCTGCTGCTTTAGTGGCTATAGCTGTGAGGGCAACAGACGTCTAAGAAGAGTTCTGGGTGGGGCTGTGGTCAGACATTCTGTTTGCTACCATGGTTGCTGGAGGATAGTGCAGGTATGATCTGTATCCTTCAGTCAGTGACAGTGAATGAGGGTCTATACATCCAATCCCATTCTGGACTGACTTTGACCTATTAACATCCACCTTCAGATCCCGGAGTTGGCCAAGAGACATCATGATCCTTCTCTGGCCACAGACCTTATCAAAACCAAAAAGAGAGAACTTCTTTGGGACCCAAGGACCTCAATTGCTCTCTGAGCATCAGATTTTCCAAAATTCAGAAAAGTGGAAATACTTTAGGATAGAGAAATATGGGGACACCTGGCTGGCCCAGCCCGTGGAGCATGCAACTCTTGATCTCACAGTTGTGGGTTTAAGCCCCACATTGGGTGTAGAGATTACTTAAAAATAAAATCTTGGGATGCCTGGGTGGCTCAGCGGTTTAGCACCTGCCTTCTGCCCAGTGCATGATCCTGGGGTCCCAGGACGAGTCCCACATCGGGCTCCCTTGGAGCCTGCTTCTCCTCTGCCTGTGGTTCTGCCTCCCTCTCGCTGTGTTTCTCATGAATAAATAAGTAAAATCTTTTTTAAAAATTAAAAAATAGGGCACTAACTCAGCCGTTTAGTGCCACCTTCAGCCCGGGGCCTGATCCTGGAGACCTGGGATCCAGTCCCATGTCAGGCTCCCTGCATGGAGCCTGCTTCTCCCTCTGCCTGTGTCTTTGCCTCTCTCTCTCTCCCCCCACCCCTGTGTCTCTCATGAATGAATAAGTAAATAGAAATCTTTAAAAAAATTAAAATTAAAAAATAAAATCTTAAAAAAAAGGATAGAGAAATGTGGTTCCCAAATATGACACTGTCTCTGAATGTGGCAAATAGCCAAGGATCCCCAGGACTGGACCCCAGAAATGGGAATACATCTCCTTATCTGGAGAGTGGGAGAGATGTACAGATCCCTGAGGCTAATAGAGGGAGAGACCTTGTAGAGGTTGTGCCTAGGATCACGGTCCAGGGTCTGAGTCTTTTCCTCCAGGGAAAAAGCTGACTTCTCCAGCTTGTACCAGATACCCCAAAACTATACCTGCAGTACAGAATCATTTCAGAATCTAAAGAGCACTTTGCCAGGAGCTTGCATAAGAAGATGCTTCTTTCCTCCCTGGGCCCCAAGGCCCCCCCGTCCCTTAGTACTCATCCATATCTTAAGTTCCCAAGATCATGATACCAGCACTATATATCAAGCAACGTTTCTAGGAGGTGGTAGTTTTGTAGACAGAACCATCTGAGAAGTTTGGCCCTTGATTAAAACCTGTATGTGATTTTTCCAGGCCTAATCACAGGCAAATATGAAGGCCTTCCTCAGAGTGAAAGTCTCAAGTGGGAAAGCTGCCCTCCCTGGTCTAGACTTGGTGACAGCCAGTGCATCAAAGGCTCTGAAGGAAGTTGCCCCTTTCAAGGACTCAGACCTCTCTGGCTGGTCATGCTCTTTGCATTTATCTGTATCCATAGGCCAGGTGCCTTCTTTCCTACCTCTCTTTATCTGAGGCCTTGGGCAGAGGTCTTCAGGCACCTCTACTGAGGCCTTCTTAAGGGAGGAGGAGGAGAAAAGCTTGAAGACATTTTCTCCACTCAGAACTCAGAACTTTTTCCACTCCTACACCTCTACTGAGGCCTTCTTATGGGAGGGGGAGGAGAAAAGCTTGAAGACATTTTCTCCACTCAGAACTCAGAACTTTTTCCACTCCTACACCTCTACTGAGGCCTTCTTATGGGAGGGGGAGGAGAAAAGCTTGAAGACATTTTCTCCACTCAGAACTCAGAACTTTTTCCACTCCTACTTCCCCAACTCCACCCCTCATAGTAATCTTCCCTCCACTGATGCTAACCCTGCTCCTTGGCTATAAATTCCCACTTTTCCTTTTATATTCAGAGTTGAGCCCAATCGCTCTCTCTCTCCTGCTGCCAAACCCCACTGAGGTGGCTCCTGTACCCTATTGCAATGGCCTTGGATATAGTCTTTACTGTTTCTTTTTTTAAAAAATGATTTTATTTATTTATTCATGAGAAACACACACACAGAGAGGCAGAGACATAGGCAGAGGGAGAAGCAGGCTCCCCGTGGGGAGCCTGATGCAGGACTCAATCCCAAGACCCTGGGATCACACCCCGAGCCGAAGGCAGATGCTCAATTCCTGAGCCACCCAAGTGTCCCAGTCTTTACCATTTCTTAATAAGTGTCATGAATAATTTTTCCCTTGACAGTTAGAATCATATTTTTTAGCACCCAACCACCCTTCTCTTTTCTTTTTCTTTTTTAAGATTTTATTTATTTATTTGAGAGAGAGAGAAAGAGAGAAGAGAACAAGCAGGGGAAGCAGCAGAGGCTCCATCCCGGGACCCTGAGATCATGACCTGAGCCAAAGGCAGACGCTTAACTGACTGAGCCACTCAGGCACCTTGCCAGCTGCCTTTCTGTGGGGGGGAAGTGGAACAAGGGTGTTTTCTCCCCATTTAGACTCTTGTGCAATCTATCATCACAGTATGTAATTAAAGGCTTCATTGTTACTTTTATTTTGACTCAGTGTTGCTCAATTGCCTATTTAGACACTTGGGTTGGCTAAGCTCTTGACACCACCTGGCTCAATGTCTCCTGCGGTTGTTGGTCAGGACACCTGCGTCCCTAAGGGCCTGTGTGACTCGAGGCCTGGCCAGAAGACTGCCTTGAGGAAGGAGAAGAAAGCGTGACAGTCTCACTTCACCACCCTTCTGTGGATCCAAAGTGTTAGCCACCCCACCCCCACTCCACCATTGAAATAGAGAACATTGTCATTCTCTGGTCCAAATATTCTAAGCAACTCGTTATTGGGTCCCATCCAAGGAGATGGCACAGGTAGGAAAAATTCTCTGGGGCAATGTTGGAAGTAGGGTTTCTGCTGCTCGGGACAGAAGTGGGGTCTCAGCTCAAATGAAAAAAGGCTGACGCTGCTGTTGAATGCCCCCTTGGCAGTCTGGCTGCTGCTGCCCCCTCCAGCTTCTTCTTGGCAAAACTCTCACCAGGGTCACCAAGAACCACCTTCTTCTGGTTCTTCCCTGGCCAGGCCATCTCAATCCCTCAACCCCATTCCCACAGTTAAGCTTGAGTGTGAGTGTGTGTGTGTGTGTGTGTGTGTGTGTGTGTCTGCAGCTCTGCCCAGCACCCCCCATCCTCCCAACCCTCACCACCCCCCCCACCCGCCGTGAATATACCTGCCCCTGGAGCCAACTCTGCTACCTTTCCCTTTCCCACCTTCTGCTCAGCCCAGCCCTGCACATTTACTACTCCTGGCCATGGCACCTCCAGCCCCCACGGCTAGAGTCTGGGCTCTAGGTGTCACTGTAATAATCCCTCCCCCACCGACTGCACCTCTCTTTAACTTTCACTTCCTGAAAGCATCCTAAATCATTCTTTCTTCCATCACCAAGTCCGCTGTCTCCACGTGGGCTTGGTTCTTCCCTTCTGCAAAGTCACAACAATTTCCTCCCTGGCCTTTTGGCCTCCAGCCTCTACCTTCCAGTTCTTCCCTACACTGACTTTACAGGGACCATGTTGATAATTATATGACCCTGCCTTTTTCCTGCTCAAGAACCTTCTATGACTCCCCATTACCTTCAGATAAAGCTCAAACTTGTCTGTTTTCCCCTAATGCTTGAGCTAGTTGAGGGTCAGGACTGATTCAAATCTGTCTTTTCTTTCTTTCTTTCTTTCTTTCTTTCTTCTTTCTTCTTTCTTTTCTTTCTTTTTTTTCTTTCTTTCTTTCTTTTTTTTAATGTTAGTTTGTGAATAAATGAATAAATGAAGTGAAGGCATGTGTTGCATCCCCTGCCTCATCTGGACTCTTATCCCTCTGAAGCTATGTAGACTATCCTGAGACCCATCCCTAGGAATCTACCTCCATGGAGATCCCGAGGCTGTGACTCTCCTGGGGGCTGGCCAGGTGGGATTGTAACAGCACTCCAACAGGTCTGAGGAGTTAATTTGCTTCAAACTTATGCACTACTTGCTTGCTGACTTAAGTCCGTTAATCTGTAGCAGAACTAGCTTTCTTCTTTCAGGTTTGCAGATCACTGGCCTTGAGAACCAGACTTTGCCAGAAGAGAAGGCCTGACTACATTCAAACGATGCTGTTGTGGATGCCACCAAGTCTGTCCAGGGTCATGTTCACGTATGACTAACCACCTGGCACCTGCTTCTCTTGCACACGGCTCCCTTCCCTTCTTCTATGAGACATTAGTCTGCCATCTTCCCAGGTTGCCAGCTTCCTGAATAAAGCACTATCATTTGCCTCTCAAGTATTGATTTTTAAAAATTTTCCTTTAATTACAGTACACCAGGTGTACACGAATATTATTTTCAAGTGGCAAGCAGCCAAACCTGAAATCACAGCAGGTTCAGGTCTCCAAGATAGACAACTGTGCATGAGCCCAGGATGCAGGACCTGGGGGGTCTCATCTTTCCTTGCTGCCTTACCAGACCAAGACCTTTGCCTCCTCTGAGCCTCAGGACCCACCTGCTGCACACAGAAAGGGAACCAGAGTATTTCAAAGGTTAATCACAGTTGACTGTAGTTCTGAACTTCTCTATTCTAGGTTTGTGGCCTTTTGTTTCTACCACAGGCTTCCTGTCTAAGCTTCCTCTGCCCTCTCATATCCTGTGGCTTCCTTTCTCTTTCAGAGGCACTGCAGAAGGCAGACTGTCCCAGACATCACGGAGGGATGCTGCTTTGGTTGCAGCTCATGCTGTGTGGAGGTGAGTGAGCTGAGGGGAGAGGAAACCCCACTTGGGGGAGGTGCTAGAACTCCAAAATAAGTTTTTCCTTCTCTCTCCAGGGCCTCTGGCTCAAGTTCTGAGCTACCAGCTGGAACTACAGGAGTCGGTGACAGTGCAGGAGGGCCTGTGTGTCCATGTGCCGTGCAAATTTTCCTACCCCTGGCTGGCTTTTATAAGCTCCCACATGTTTTGGTTCCAGAAAGGGGCAGATGTAGACCACGATCCTCCAGTGGCCACAAACATACCAAGCCAGAAGCTGCATGAGAGGACCCAGGGCCGGTTCTTCCTCCATGGGAACCCCCAGGCCCAGGACTGTTCCCTGGACATCATAGAAGTCAACATGGGGGACAGTGGAACTTACTTTTTTCAAATAGGGAAATATTCATATCTAGATAATATGCTTTCTCTAAATGTGACAGGTATGGTAGGGGCCTGGAGGAAGGCCCCAGGGTGTGGGCACCAGAGATAGAAAATGAACATTCTGTTCCTCTTCGGGGTGGTGAGGGATGGCCAGGCACTGGGGCAGAAGGCAAAACATCGAGGGGTCCCAACATCTTCTCTATCCTCACCAGCCCTGACTCACACACCTGACATCCTCATCCCGAGAACCCTAGAGTCCAGCCACCCCAGGAACCTGACCTGTTCTGTGCCCTGGGCCTGCAAGCAAGGCATAGCCCCCATCTTCTCCTGGACATCAGCTGCCCTCACCTCCCCGGGTCCCAGGACTCACCTCTCCTCGGTGCTCATCCTCAGCCCCCGGCCGCAGGACCACGGCACCAATCTAACCTGTCAAGTGTACTTCCCTGCAGCTGATGTGATGGTGGGAAAGACCATCCAGCTCAATGTCACCTGTGAGTATATGGGGCCAGGACACCTGTGATCCTGAAGGTGTAAAGCCAGGGCAGACCTGGGCTAGAGCTTGACAATGGGGTCTCAGTAGCTAAGCAGGATGAGAACCCCTTTACCTCCTTCCATGGCACCTGGGGGGAAGCCCAAGCACCCACTCCTTCCTTGCCACCAAAGCCAAGGCCGGCTCATCCTTCTGTCCAGATGCTCCACAGAACACAGCTATCAGGATCTTCCAAGGAAACAGAACAGGTAGGAAAGAACCTCTTTCCTCCAGGGCTGGGGTGGAGCATGAGACACATACAAGAAGCCAGTCACTGAGTTCAGGCATGGGAAGAGCAGTGGAGAGAAGCCCCCACAAACCTCGACTCCCCGAAGTTAATGTTCACTCACCCACAACTTTCTTTGGTCAAATCCTCCTGCTTTGGGGCTCCTCTTTGGCGGATTTGCTGTCATATCCCTCTTTCTGCATCTCTCCCCAAAGTGCTGGAGACTCTGCAAAACACCTCATCCATTCTCATCCTGGAGGGCCAGGCTCTGCAACTGCTCTGTGCTGCTGACAGCAACCCCCCTGCGGAGCTGAGCTGGTTCCGGGGGTCCCCCGCCCTGAATGCCACCCCCATCTACAGAAATCCCATCCTGGACCTGCCTCAAGTAGGGGTTGCGGAGGAAGGAGACTTCACCTGCCGAGCTCAGAACTCGCTGGGCTCCCAGCACGTCTCCCTGCACCTCTCTGTGGTCTGTGAGTGTGGCGACCTCTGCGGGCAGGAGACCAGGGCCTGGGGAGCAGGGGCACCGCTGACCCCTTCTCCTCCCTCCCCCAGACCCCCCGCGGCCGCTCAGCCCCTCCTGCTCCTGGGAGGGCGAGGCGCTGCAGTGCACCTGCTCCTCCCACGCGCGCCCGGCCCCCACCCTGCACTGGCGGCTGGGGGAGGGGCTGCTGGAGCGGAACCACAGCAATGCCTCCTTGACCGTCACCTCCAGCGCTGAGGGACCCTGGGCCAACAGCTCCCTGAGCCTCCGTGGGCCGCTGGGCTCTGGCCTCAGACTCAGCTGCGAGGCCTGGAATATGCACGGGAAACAGAGCGCCGCTGTCCTGCTGCTGCCAGGTCTGAGGTCTATTGGGGGTTGATGCCTGGAGGAAGAGACAGTGGCTCTTTTATTAATTTTATAGGGATGCTGCAACATAGTACCTTGTACCTTAAACCGGGCAGCTTAAACAATGGAGATGTACTGTCTTCCAGTTCTGGAGGCTGGAAGCCTAGGATCAAGGTGTCTGCAGATCAGTTCCTTCTGAGGCTGTGAGAACGTTTTCCAGCCTGTCCCCCAGCTCCTGGTGTTTGCTGGCAATCTTTGGTGTTCCTTGGCTTGTGCAATCAATCTCTGCCTTCATGTTTACATGGCATCCTCCCGTGTATGTCTGTGTCCAAATATCCCCATTTCATGAGGACACCTGTCATATTGGGTTATGGCCCACCCTAATGATCCCATTTTAACTTGATTACCTTTGTAAAGACCCTGTTTCCAAATAAGGCCACACACCAAGATGCTGGGGATGGAGGGGTGTCGCAGAGGGCTAGGACTTCAGCATATGAATTTGGTGAGGGATGCAATTCAGCCCCTAACAGCCCCCAGAGAGATGGGACTGGCCGGAGAAACACCAAGGCCTCAAATGGAGCAGCTGAAGGCCTAACATCCTCAGTCCTGAGGCCAATGGAAGAGGCTGGTCCAGCGTTCACAGGGCAATGGAATGCTATGTCACTGAGTCCTAGATGGGGAGTGGGTATACTAGTGGCACACACTGAGAGAGAGAGGGAGAGAAGTGGCCAGTTGGAACATGCCATGTGTTGGAGCTTCAACTTACACATAACTCAATTTTTTTTTAACTCAAAAATTTTTTAAACTCAAATTCTGTAGGTAAATCAGAACCCAGGACTAGTGGGGTCCTGGGAGCAGTTGGGGGAGCTGGCAGCATGGCCCTGCTTTCTCTTTGCCTTTGCCTCATCTTCAGGTGAGAGTGGGTCCAGGGATGGAGGGAGAGGCCTGGAGTGGAAAGGGGATAGGGTTGTGGAATCTCAGAGAGCCTGAGGTAGAGCAACCTGGACTGGTTAGAAATCCAGGAGCCAGGGAAGGAGGCTGAGTGGTGGTGTGAATCAGCCAATACCCAACTGGGCCAAGCCTGGGGTCTCTTCCCAGGCCCTGGTCCAGCTTTTGGATTAGGAGGAGCACCTGGAGACTGGACCCAGGCTCTTACCTCATTCTATGCTCTTCATGGGGTGCAGGGGATGGTCTCCCTACTGCATACCCCAAATAACCAAGCTGAAGGGCCCGGGGCTGTTCTCTTACTTAGAGTGAAGACCCGCAGGAAGAAAGCAGCCCAGCCAGTGCAAAGCATGGATATGAGCCCAGATGACAGCTCAGACTCTGGGGTGAGTGACAGGCTGTGAGGTCCTATCCAGTATATGCCTTTTGGAAGTCACCCCAGCAAGGGCGCTTGAGCATTTGCCTATTAACATCCAATACTCCCTGGAGTTACACATGTGGTTATTTTAAATTAATTCAACTGTTCTAATACTTCTGCTTCTTTTTTTTAAGATTTATTTATTTATTTATTTATTTATTTATTTATTTATTTGTTTATTTGAGAAAGAGAGACAGCAGAGCAGGGGGGAAGGGTAAAGGGAGAAGCAGACTCCCTGAGGAGTAGGGAGCCCAGCGCAGGACTCCATCCCAAGACTCCAGGATCACAACCTGAGCTGACAGCACATACTCCACCAACTGAGCCACCCAGGCACCCAATACTTCTGCTTCTGATGGAATATGTATATAGCCCAGTTGCTTGTTAGGGGTATTTATGCCTCCTATGTCGGAATATTACATTCCCTTGGAATATTAGCCTTTTCTTGTGGTGTTGATTGCCAGAAGTATAATGGCCCAAACTTAGTCTGTGTCAGACCACTGAGTACAAGGGAAGTGGTGGACTCCAGCCCTAGGGTAGAGAGACTGGGGCACCCCAAAGTCACAACTCATCACTCCCCTTTTGCATTTTTCAAATCTACTGTTGTGCTTCTTTATTATTTATTTCAATTCAATTTAATTAGCATATAATGTATTATTAGTTTTAGAGGTAGAGTTCAGTGATTCATCAGTTGCATATAACACCTAGTGCTCATTACATCACGTGTCCTCCTTCATGTCCATCACCCATTTACCCTGTCCCCCCATCCTCACCCCTCCAGCAACCTTCAGTTTGTTTCCTAGAGTTTACCATCTCTTATGGGTTGCCTCCCTCTCAATATTTGTCTTATTTTATTTTTCCTTCCCTTCCCCTATGTTCATCTATTTTGTTTCTTAAAATCCACATAATGAGTGAAATAATATAGTATTCGTCTTTCTCTAACTTATTTCACTTAGCATAATACTCTCTAGTTCCATCCATGTCATTGCAAATCACAAGATTTCATTCTCTTTGGTGGCTGAATAATATTCCAGTGTGTGTGTGTGTGTGTGTGTGTGTGTGTTTGTGTGTGTGTACATATACCATATCTTTATCCATTCATCTGTTCATGGACATCTGGGCTTCCTTCAATAGTTTGGCTATTGTGGACATTGCTGCTATAAGCATTGGGATGCAGGTGTCCCTTCAAATCACTATGTCTGTATCTGTGGGGTAAATCCCTAGTAGTGCAATTGCTGGGCCACAGGGTAGTTCTATTTTTAACTTCTTGAGGAACTTCCATACTGTTTTCCAAAGTGGCTGCACCAGTTTGCACTCCCACCAGCAGTGTGAGAGGGTTCACCTTTCTCTGCATCCTCACCAACATCCATTGTTTCCTGAGTTGTTAATTTTAGCCATTCTGACTGTTACAAAGTGGTATCTCATTGTGGCTTTGATTTGTATTTCCCTGATGGCTACCACTGTGTTTATTTAATATCAACTTTATTGAGGTATACCTTATGTATAATAACGCACCCATTTTAAGTATGCAGTGAAATGAACTTTGACGGATGTGTTCACCCTATGCCCATGTCCCCAATCAAGATGTGAAACATTCCCATCATGTCCCCAAATTCTTTTGTTCCCCTGCCCAGTTAGCTTGACCTTTCCAGCAATCACTGATTTCTATCACTATGGATTAATCTTGTCCCTTCTGGGACTTAATATAAATAGAATCATGCAATATTTACTCTATTTTTCTGGTTTCTATCACTTCATTAAAAGATGTAAAAATCCTAAACATGTATGCCTCCTGTGACAGAACATCATTCATCAAAATAAATATATGAAAACTGACAGAACAGCAAGGAGAACATATTGGCAATTATAGTTGATTATTCCTAAAACTTTTCTCTCAGTGACTGGTAGAATGAGTACACACAAAATCATTTTTAAAGTTTAATTTGTGTAATTCTCTCTCTTCTTTCTCCTTGGTTAACCTTGGGAAATGAAACTCTTAATGTGCCCTAAATCCCCATCTTGTCAGGAATCAGGATATACATCTTCAATTTCCTTACCTTCAAATTCTTGGGGTTTTTTTTATGATAGTCACAGAGAGAGAGAGAGAGAGAGAGAGAGAGAGAGAGAGAGAGAGGCAGAGACACAGGCAGAAGGAGAAGCAGGCTCCATGCACCAGGAGCCCGACGTGGGATTCGATCCTGGGTCTCCAGGATCACACCCTGGGCCAAAGGCAGGCGCCAAACTGCTGTGCCACTCAGGGATCCCTTCTTTTTTCTTTTAAGTGAATGTCTTTTGCAGTCAGTATAGTATGGGGGCTCAAAACATGTACTCCAGAGCTAGACTGTGTTCAAATTCCATCTTTCAAAAAAAAAAAAATTCCGTCTTTCCCTACTGACAAGCTGGGAAACCTTGGACAAGTGATGCACCCTCTCTGACCTCTGTTTATTTTGGTGATATTGGAACATTACGAGTACATACAGTATCATACAGTAGTTATGAGAAGTGTGTAACACAGTAGCTGGCATGGAATATGCACAGGACTCATTACTACATCTGAAATCATTCCCACCTCTAGCAGGTGAGTCCCAAGGGCGGTTTGTTGTTGCTATTATTTTATTCCCTGTTATATCTCTCAGGCCAGAGAAATATCTAGCCATTTCCTCTTAATCTGAGAACACCTCACCTCTTTCAGCAACTGTGTGAGGGCTTCTTGTTTCATACTTCCATAGCCTGAGGATGTTGTGGGTATGGAGCAGACGTGGGAAAGGGTGTCTGGTTGCCATCTTGACTGCAAACGTGACCTCTGCTCTGTCTTCTAGTGCCTGTCCAGAAATAGGATATACCACCCCTGCCCTGCTTTATTTTATTTTATTTTTAAAGATTTTACCCAGTGGGACGTCTGGGTGGCTCAGTGGTTGAGTGTCTGCCTTTGAGTGGGGCGTGATCCCAAAGTCCCGGGATCAAGTCCCACATTGGGCTTCCTGCATGGAGCCTGCTTCTCTCTCTGCTTATGTCTCTGCCTTTCTCTCTCTCTGTCTCTCATGAATAAATAAATAAAATCTTAAAAAAAAGATTTTATCCATTTGTTTGACAGAGAAAGAGAGAGAACAAGCGGGAGGAGGGGCAGAGGGAGAAGGAGAAGCATACCCCCACTGAGCAGGGAGCCCGACTCAGGGCTCCATCCCAGGACCCTGGGATCATGACCTGAGCCAAAGGCACTTGCTTAACCAACTGAGCCACCCAGGCCCCCCATTGCCCTGCTTTAGATTCAAAATATCTCCTATAAAAATGTAGAACTTTGGATGTATTTGTCTTCTATTTGTTTAGTAACTACCTCTCCTAGAAAACCATAAGCTACATGGTCTCAGGAACTGTACCTGCTTTATTCGTCACTCTAGACAGCACCCTGAACACTGCCCGGATAAAGGATGGTGCTATAGTTAGAAAGAATTGGTTTTGAGTCCTGGCTCAATCGTGCATTTATAATAGATGCGTGTCTTTTTTTTTTTTTAAGTAGGTTCCTTACCCCGTATGAAGTCCAATGTGGAGTTTGAGCTCACGACCCTGAGATCAAGACCTGAGCTGAGATCAACAGTCAGATGCTTAACCTGACTGAGCCACCCAGGTGCCCCTGTATAGATAGATGTGTGTCTTTAGGGCAATGTATATAATCTCAAAAAAAATGTATATAATCTCTCTTAACCTTAATTTTATTATTTGTGTAATGAATATGGTAATAATACCCTCTCCCAGCCTTTTTTTTTAAGAATGTAATGCAATTAATATAAACACTGACTAAGGACCACCTGGGTGGCTCAGTGGTTGAGCATCTGTCTTAGCTCAGGTCGTGATCCCAGGGTCCTGGGATTGAGTCCCACATCGGGCTCCCTGCAGGGAGCCTGCTTCTCCTTCTGTCTGTGTCTCTGCCCCTCTCTCTCTGTGTCTCTCATGAATAAATAAATAAAATATTAAAAAAAAACACAAAACACTGACTAAGGGCTAGCCAATCTTAGTTATTAAACATTTAAAAATAAATGAATGGGTAAGTGATAAAAATCGTGTCTTGATAAAAATGTGTCTTTATCCCCTTCAGGTCCTTGACTGCTTTCCCCCAGGCCCTATATTAACCAGCTCTGAGGTCCTCCTCTTCCTTCCACTCAGGCACATCAGGACCAGTCCTGGATGGACATCCCTGAAGACCACCCAGCTCCTGCTGGGGCTAGCCCCATTTCAAGAGAGGAACAGGAGCTTCACTATGCTTTCCTCCAATTTCCCAAGCTGAAGCCTCGGGAACAGGAAAGCATCAACACTGAGTACTCAGAGATCAAGACACACAAATGAGGAACTATTTTTCTCATAGTTCTGGAGGCTGGAAGTCTGAGATCAACATGTCAGCAGAGGTCTCTCTCCTTGGCTTGTATTTGGTCTTCACCTGGTCTTCCCTCTGTGTGAGTCTGTGTCCTAATTTCTTCTAATAAGGACACCAGATGTACTGGATTAGGGCCCACCCTTGTGACTTCATTCTAACTGAAATTTAAAGACCCTATCTCCTACAGTCTCAGTCTCATTCTAAGATACTGGGGATTAGGACTTCCAATGTATTGTTAATCTTATGATTTTTCAGCCAATAATGCTCAGCCTTGACTATTTTAAAATTAATGGTCTTCTTGGCAATGGTTTGAAACTCCCAGTATGTGTGGAAAACCACAGGAATTGTGTTCAAAAGAACTGAACTCAAATCCATCTATGCCATGGATTGAGAAATCAGGGAAGTCATCCTTATCCAGCCAGATGATCGCAGAAGATGGATGAGAGGCTACAAATAAAACAGATAAGTCCTGACACAAATGTTTTTGGGAACTCTGAACACATGGTATGTGTCAAGACTTCTGTTAGCTGCTTTAACAGAAAGCTTCTGCTAATGATTTCTCTGAAAGCTTGGAGGGGACAATCCCAGGGGCCACACAACTTTTCCGCCAGGATCAAGGCAAGGATGGCTGCCCTTACTACTTCTATTAAACAGTATTTTGTAGATCCTTTCCAGTGCAATAAATGCAGGAAATAGAAATAAGAGTTATCCAGATCATAAAGTAAGAAGCAAAACAGTCTTGGGATACCTGGGTGGCTCCATCAGTTAAGTGGCTGCCTTCAGCTCAGGTCATGATCTCCGGGTCCTGGGATGGAGCCCTGAGTCTGGCTCCCAGCTTTGCAGAGTCTGCTTCTCCCTCTCCCTTTGCCTGCCTCACCTACATTCCCTTCATGTTCTCTCTCTCTGTGTCTCTCAAATAAATGAATAAAATATTTTTCTTAAAAAAAGCAAAACAGTCTTTTTTCACAGATGTTATGGTTGTGCACATAGAAAATCTAAAGTTATCCACAAAAGAGGTACTAAAATCAATAAGAGAGTTCAGCAAGGTATTAAGATACTAGCTCAAATTATAAAATTTCTTTGCAGTTCTATGTATTGACCAAGGGCAATTAGGAATTCAATATTTTTTAAAGATGCAACTTATGGCAACATGAAAATATAAACTAACTTAGATGAAATCTATGCAAGTCCTGTACATTGAAAAAAATGTTGCTGAAAGAAATGAATGAAGACCTAAATAAATGGAGATATATAACATGTTCATTGGTTGGAAGATTCAGTGCTGCTGGGTGTAAATTTTCCCAAATGGATTGATAAATTCAATGTAATTTCAAAATCTCAGTGAGTGCTTTTTTTTAGAGGCCCCAGGACCCACCTCTCCTTGGTGCTCACCCTCACCCCACAGCCCCAGGACCATGGCACACCCCTCACCTGTCAGGTGACCTTGCCTGGGGCTGGAGTGACTACGATGAGGACCATTCATCTCACCATGTCTGTAAGAGCCAGGCCAGGACCTCCCCTCTCCGGGTCTCTGATAGGGTCCTGAGGGCAGTGGGGTGGGGAGCCAGGGGCTAGGACACTGGATGCTGGTCCCAAAATCTGGGCTGAGAGGGGTCAGGAGGACACCTGTCTCCACCTTTTCCCCATTTATGCAGCTCATGGGGACAGAGGGCCAATGTCCACCAGCCCCCTCCATTTACATGAATCCACCATGTCTTTCTGTCCCAGACTCTCCATAGTTTGATGGTAACTTCTCCCAAGGAAACGGCACGGGTAGTTTGGAGCCTCCTCCTGGGGTGTGGGGAGTGAGGGCAGGGCCGAAACCCCCCTGTGGGTGAACCCAGTGGCCCTCCCCCTTCCCAATCCCCATGGCCCTGTGAGCAGTTGTCCCCCTCAGCCTCCCCTTCCCCCATGTCTGCCCTCCCCCCTGTTATCAGGAGAACAAGGAGAACAGCAGATCTGCCCCTTATCATGCATCTCCTGATGACTCCTCCTGCCCTGTCTTATATTTTTCCCAACAACTGCTTATTTAGGTACTTCTGAACAGGTAATATATTCACATGGACAAACATTCAGAATGCACAGCAGAGTCTTCCCTCCCGGGAAGTGACTGGTGTCCGTAGGCTGCTCTGAGCCTTGGTGTGTTCGCCTAGAGGGGTCCTATGCTATCAGTAGTACAGAGTGTCCACCTTCTTCTCTGTGACTGTGCACTGTTCCTTCCCACGGATGGATTCTGCTTCTGTGTGCATCTTCTTCTAATGGAAAATCATGGAATTCATTTTATTTTAATTGAAGTGCTGCAATCAAGACTCTTGTACCTAGTTTCTGATGTTTGTGTTTATGCCTTTGGGATAAATTCCTAAAAATTAAATACCTGGGTCATGTGTTCTATTTTTTTTATTGGGATGTAATTGACACATAACAATAAATCAGTTTCAGGTATATAATGAAATGATTAGATATTTGTAGATATTGCAAAATGATCACCACAGTAATCTAGTTAACATCATCATACATAGTCACAAAATTCTTTTCTTGTTTTGAGGGCTTTAAGATCTGTTCTCTTTTTTTAAAGATTTTATTTATTTATTCATGAGAGACACACACACACAGAGAGGCAGAGACACAGGCAGAGGGAGAAGCAGGCTCCATGCGGGGAGCCCGATGTGGGACTCGATCCTGGGACCCCAGGATCACACCCTGAGCCAAAGGCAGCTGCTCAACCGCTGATCCACCCAGGTGTCCTATAAGATCTGTTCTCTTAGCAACTTTCAAATATGCAACACAGTATTGTTAACTATAGTCACCTTGTTGTACATTATATCCCTGGGACTTACTTATTTTATAACTGGAAGTTTATACTTTTTGACCTCCTTCACCCATTTTGCCCACTACCCTCCTACACCTGTTTCTGGTAATCACCAATCTGTTCTTTATATCTATGAACTTGATTTTGTCTTTCTTTTTTTTCTTCCTTCCTTTCTCTCTTTCTTTCTTTTGGGGAGGTGTGTTTTTCTTTTTCAGATTCCACATATAAGTGAGATCATATGTATTGCTTTTCTCTGACTTATTTCACTTGGCATAATGCTCTCAAGTTCCATCCATGTCCTCATAAATAATATGTCCTTCTTTCTTTTAATGCTAGATAATATTCCCATATATATTCTATGATATATATATCATGTATGATATATGATTTCTATATCTCTCACATTTTCTTTATCCATTCACCCATCAGTGGACACTTAGGGTGTTCCCATATCTTGGCTATTATAAATAATGTTGCCATGAACATGGGGGTCCAGTTTTCTTTTTGAATTAGTGTTTTCTTTTTTTTTTTTCAGATAAACACTCAGAAGTGGGATTACTGGATCACATGATAGTTCTATTTTCATTGTTTGACCAAACTCCATAGCATTTTCATAGTTGTTGCACCAATTTATATACCCACTAACAATGCCCTGGGGGTCTCCTTTTCTCCACCTTGTCTATTTTGGAGAAATAAGGCCAGATTATTTACTGCCCACCAGCTCTCCGTCAGAATACAGGTGTGCCCTGGGGTGAACGTTCTAGATCTCTGACATTAGGTGAAAGCTGGAATCTCCAGGGAGTTTTAATTAGCATTTCCCTTATTATAAATGATGTTGCACATGATTTTATATAATGACAAGTCGCTTGTGTTTCTTTTCTCTTTTTTCTTTTTTTAAGTAGGCTCCATGCCCAATGTGGGGCTTGAACTCAGCACCCTGAGATCAAGAGTTGCACGTTCTACCAACTGAGCTGGTGGGGAGCCTCTGTGTTTCTTTAATTTTGGCAAGTCTTTGCTTTTTTTTTTTTTTAAGTCTTTGCTTATATTCTTTGCTCAGTCTTCCACTGTGTGACTTGACTTTTATTATTCATTTTTTGACATTTTTTTTCAAGTTAGAGAAATTAGCTGTTTATCTGTAATAGGAGTTGCAAGCACTTAACTGGGTATGCTACTGTGATTGTTTGGGTTTTTTGTTTGTTTTTGTTTTGGGTGGTCAGTGATTTTTTGATGCTTGGGGATCTATTTATACCTGTAGTAAACATTTATCAATCTTTTCTCTTACAGCTCTGCTTTTCCCCACTTTGAGTTCATAAAAACAAACTCTCTGCCTTTCCTCCTGTGCCCTGCTCTCTGAAGGTTTGCCTCACTCCACACACTCTAGTTCTGACCCTGCAGGTCTTATTATATTTTCTCTGGGCACACACAGGCCTTGGTCATCTTTGCATTCTCTAGTCTTCCTTCTTGCAATGCCCTGCCACAGCCCTATCATCATTTGGCTGTCCCTGCTTGCCCCTCCCACTTGACTTCAGAAGCTGCCTCCTCCAGGAGGCCCTCCTGGACTTGCCAGTCTCATTTGTGTTGCCATCTGCAGGGCCTGCCCAGCTCCGTGTCACTAACACCTCAACATGAGTCATGTGGTATTGGGAGCTCCTGGGTCCCTGTTCCCCACCAGACTGTGAGTTTCTAAGAGTGAGCCCCCTCAGAGATACTGCATTAAATCAGTAAACTCGTGTCAGGTGGAAATATAAGTAAAAGGACAGAGTTTTCTGGGTCAGTCTGGGTTCTGAATGAAGGACTTGGAATTTAGGGTAGGGCTGACAATGTGCATGGGTATCCTGAAAGCCCAAGACCCTCTGTCTGTGCTTCCTGGGGCCTACCTCCAGCCAGATTCCATCAGGGCAGGGATGAATCTGCATCAATGAGTGCAGAGAAAGAAGGACCTAGGCAGCCTCTTATGTTCACTCCTCCTCTCTGGGTTCCTCTCTGAGTCTTGGTCTATCTCAGGCTATGTCTATGTGCCCGACTCTATCCCTCTCTGCTGGTCCCCATTTGCATCCATCTGCTTTCTCTCAGCCTCTTTGTCTCTTTTACCCTCTCTTTCTCCAGCACCCGCAGTCCTTGGAGAACGGTTTGTCTCTTTCAGTCCTGGAGGGCTAATCCCTGCACCTGGTCTGTGTGATCAACAGCAACCCCCCCCCCCCCAGCAGACTGAGCTGCACCTGGGGCAGCCTGACCCTGAGTGTCTCAGTGTCTCACAGCCCTCTCCACCCTGGGGTGCTGACACTGCTACAGGTACACAAGGGAGATGAAGGAGGATTCACCTGTTGAGCTCAGATGCTGTGGGTTCCCAGCCCGTCTCCCCGAGTGTCTCTCTGAGGAGTGAGTGTCCAGGGACTGCACACTGGACTTTAATGCCAGTGCCCTTCAGCTCCCTGGACCCTGAGCAGGCAGTCCCAGAGCCCTCTATCCAACTGCTGGTAGGGCACGGGGTGGGGTGAAGCCCAGATGCAGGTGGTCCCACATCCAGGGGTGCAGCAAGGCCTTGAGAACCAATGTCCAGAGCCCTGCTGGGAGCAAAGGACATAGGGTTGCAGTCAACCACATGAACACTCCCCCAGGGAAAGGGGAGGCATGGGGAGGGCGGGGACATGTGGCTGAGTCCCAGAACCAGTGAGGAGGAACTGAACAGGTCAGAGAGCAGGGCAGGCAGGAGGCCCACCAGGGGGGAGGATTCCACTGAGTGTGCAGATGGAATGTGCCTCCTGGGCTCAAGGTGATCTGTGGGACCAGACCTGCCCTCTCCTACCTCAATCACTCACTTCCAACCCCTTAACTGGGAACACGAGTGAGTCAGTTCACCCTGTACCACCACAGGTAGACTGAAAGACCCTGGTCTCTTCTCTCAGACTGAGGTTCCTCAGGAAGGAGACAGCCAGGCCTGCAGGGGTCATGGAGGCAAACACCATCCCCAGTTAATCCCTCAGCTGAGCGATGTGGGCAGCTCACCATCCAACATCCCACCAACACCTCCCCCAGGATGGCCCCAGGATTGTTCCACTCAGCATGGCCAGAGCTGAGCTGCCACATTCCTCCCAAGCCCACTTCTCTGCTGGGTTTCCCTCACATGGCTGACCTGGCCCCCATCTCTAAGACCAGAACAGGGGTGTGGCTCTCCACCGCGACCTCCCGCCTTTCTGCCTGATCCAGTACCTCACTCAATCTTGCCCATCCTCCCTCCTAAGCTCATCCTGATGCTGGTCTCCTCCCCATCCTGACCTGCTTATTCCTGTGGCCTCCTCTCTTCCACGTGCCTCCTGCCTCCCTCTCTCTCCTCAACACACTGAGCCTTGGAAGACGTTTAGCGTCCACTTCCTCCCCAGCATGAACAGCTATGATTCCTCCTCAGGACCAAGAATGAGGTGCAAACAGGCTGGATTTGAAGGCCAGGCTTGGTCCATCCTCCACTGGACCCTCCACCCAGATCTCTACCTCTCCCTACATCTTGCAATGTCTCCACACACAGCTGGACCAGGGCCTTCATGACTGTGAGACTTTGCATATGCTGTTCCTTCTCAGGAAATGCCCTTTCCTCCCCATTTTTGCATCTTCAGAGCCTGATCATATTCAGGGTCAGTATTAAATACCACCCACCTGTGTGTGTGTGTGTGTGTGTGTGTGTGCCCACGTGTATATATATACACACATGTAGTTGTATGGTTTTGAATGGAAGAATGATATTCAGTCATTTATTCACAGACTCATTCAGCAAATACACCTGCTATGTGCCAGCCTTGTTATAGGTGCCAGAAGTACATTTATAAACACAGCTTCAAAATTCTCTGTCATCCAAAGGACTTGAATAGATGTTCTGCAAAGAAGATATACAAATGCCCAAGGATAACACTAAATAATAATTAACATCATTAGTCACTAGAGAAATGCAAGTCAAAACCACAGTGAAGCAATACTTCACACCCATTAGGGCAGATCTCCTTGAAAAAAGAAGAAAAAGAAAAAAGGTAACAAGTTTGGCAAAGACATGGACAAATGGGAACCCACACACTTTGCTTGTGGGAATGAGAAATGGTGCAGCCTTGTGGAAAACTCTTTGGAATCTCCTTTAATAGTTAAAGAGAAATCAGGATGCCTGGGTAGCTCCATTAGATAGTATCTGACTCTTGATTTCAGCTCAGGTCATGATCTCAGCGTCGTGGGATTGAGCCCCATGTCAGGCTCCTTGCTGGATGGGGAGTCTGCTTGTGACTCTCTCTCTCCCTCTGCCTCTCCCCCTGCTTATGCAGTCTTTCTCTCTCTTTCTCAAATAAATGAATACATTTTTATATATTTTTTAAGGTTTTATTTATTTATTCATGAGAGACATAGAGAGAGAGGCAGAGACATAGGCAGAGGGAAAAGCTGGCTCGCCGCACGGAGCCAGAGGTGGGACTTGATCCCAGAATCCTAGGATCACGGCCTGAACCAAAGGCAGATGCTCAACTGCTGAGCCAACAGGCATCCCATAAATAAATCTTCAAAAATAAATTAAACAGGGATCCCTGGTGGCTCAGCGGTTTAGGGCCTGCCTTCAGCCTAGGGTGCGATCCTGGAGTCCTGGGATCGAGTCCCACATCGGGCTCCCTGCATGGAGCCTGCTTCTCCCTCTGCCTGTGTCTCTGCCTCTGTGTGTGTGTGTGTGTGTGTATGTCTTATTAAAAAATAAATGAAATCTTTAAAAAAATAAAAAAATAAATTAAACAGAATTACTGTATGACCCAGCACTTGCATTCTCAGGTATATACTCAAGGAAATTGAAAGCATCACCTAAAACAGATACTTGTGGATCATTGATCATGGTAGCATTACTCACGGTAACAATGGAACCAGTCCTGATGTCCATCATCAGAAAAATGGATGAGCCAACTGCAGTGTAGACACACAATGGAATATCATGCAGCCACAATAGGGATTACCCTTGAAAACAATATGCTAAAGGAAAAAACCAGACACAAAAGGACAAACACTGTTTGATTCTGCTTATCCGAGCTACCCAGAACAGGCAAGCTCATGGAAACAGAAAGTAGAATGGGAGTTGTTCTGAGTTTGGGGATGGGGGTGGGTGGAGGTTGTTGGGCAACTGTGCAGAGTTTCTGTTGGGGATGATGAAAAAGTTTTGGAGAGAGTTGGTGGTGATAGTTGCACAACATTGTGAGTGTACTTAGTGTCTCTGAATTGTACCTTATACAATGTTAAAAATGGCAAATTTCAGGACACTTGGGTGACTCAGTGGTTAAGCATCTGCCTTTGGCTCAGGTCGTGATCCCGGAGTCCTGGGATCAAGTTCCATAATAGGCTCCCTGGAGGGAGCCCACTTCTCTGTCTGCCTATGTCTCTGCCTCTCTCTGTGTGTCTCTCATGAATAAATAAATAAAATCTTTTTTATAAAAAGATCCTGGGTCTCCAGGATCACACCCTGGGCCGAAGGAGGTGCTAAACCGCTGAGCCACCCAGGCTGCCCAATAAATAAATTTTTTTTTAAAAAAAAGCAAGTTTTATTTTGTGAGTGTTTTACCACAAAACAAAACAAAACAAGGGAACACTAAGCACATCTGTCATCAAGGTGCTGCTCTTATGAGACAAGAATAAAAAAGTAAATAATAAATAAAAATAGAGTATGTCACATATTCATAGAGGCCTGGAGAAAAAGCTCTCAGGGAAAGGAGCATGCGGTGCCTTGGGCTGGGTTTTCTGGAGCTGAGAGGCTGTGGAGGTTATGTTTGAACTAAGACTCCAATGTAGGAAGAAGCAGACTCTTTGCTTGCCTAAAAGGAATCCTCTTAGGGGAGCAGTGAGTGCAGTAGCTCCAAGACTGGCAGCACAGAAGTGCAGATGATGCAGGTCCCGTGGAAGACCACTGCAGACCACTGCAGCCTTCAAGGAGAGCAGACACATGCTGGGACCCTCATTTAGGAGGATCCCCATGGCTACTCAGTTCAGAATCAGCCAGACTGGGTCCGTGGGAGCAAAAAAGAGATGTGGCACAGCCCTGGGGGTGGGGGGTGGTTGTCCAGGTGCACTGGGCCAAGGATACACTGCAGGTGGGGGAATATTTAGATATATTCTGAAGGTCAAGCTAACAGCATGTTCTAATGGAGGAGGGGGTGGGGGATAGAGAAGAGCAAAAATGATGCCCAGTATCTCCCCTGAGCAGCTGGAAGGGCAGAGTCCTCTTATGGGGAGGATTTCAGAGAGCTGGGTTTTGAAGGATGATGTTCATTCTGAGAAGCCACTTGACATCCAACTGGGGATGTCAGGGAGGGCTGAGTTTGAACGTCCAGAATCACAAGAGTAGTCACAGCTAGCTTGACGTGGTAATAGAGAAGGTTCACAAAAGGGTATGGCCTTTCCTCAAGAAATTAGTAATAGAGTTGCCATATAATCTGGTAATTCCACATCTGGGTACATATGCAAAAGAATTGAGAACAAGGGGCAGCTCGGGTGGCTAAGCGGCTTAGCACCGCCTTCAGTCCAGGGCGTGACCCTGGAGACCCAGGATCGAGTCCTACGTCAGGCTCCCTGCACGGAGCCTGCTTCTCCCTCTGCCTGTGTCTCTGCCTCTCTCTGTGTGTCTCTCATGAATAAATAAAATCTTAAAAAAAAATCTGTCAAATTCCTGAAGACAAAACATGCAACAGTGGTTGCAGGGACTGGGAGGAGAGGGAAATGGGGAGTTGTTCTTTAATGGGTATAGTTCAAGTTTTGCAGCTTGAAGAGAGTTGTTCTTGTTTACTACATGTCAAAAAAAATCTTGTACTCATATTTTTAGAAAATACCTAAGGACACATGGCAAAGTCACAGGTGCCTGCAGCTCTGAACCCCCCAGGGACAGTACTGTGTGGCTGGGGAGGAAGTGGCACCCTGGGTGGGGACCATGTCACAAGGTGGACCAGGTTAGACCCAACTGGCTTGTCTCCAGGTCCCCCAACACAGATGTTCACGAAGTATTTGGGGAATGAATGAATGAATGAATGAATGAATGGCTCCTGCCTTCACTACACCCAGGACTCCTTCTTTTCTTCTGCTCCGGACACTCACACAAACCTAAAGAATCCTTTAGAACCTGGAAGCTCTAGATGAAGCTGTGACCCCTCCAGATCTAGCCAGGAACTGACTAGCTCCCAGGTATAGACAATGCTGCTCAGACAATCACCTCAGTTGGAGGACGAGGAGACTCACTGTGTCTCATGCCTCACATGTCCTCAGAAATCCCAGTCCAGGCTCTGGTGCCATAGGGAAGTGCCAAGATGGGGGCAGGACACACGGTCAGGTGCTGGCCTCTCCTTCCTGGGGAGGGCGTCTCCTGGGTCTCTGGCCAGGAAATGTGGCAGGCTCTGTGCAGAGAGGGGGCCAGCTCTGGGGCTGCAGTTCCTCTTCTGAGAACCACCAGGACTCAGGCTCCTCCCTGGCACCTCTCCTTCACCCACAGGAAGCCCACACACCCTCCATCTCAAATATGCTGCTGCTGCCGCTGGTGCTGCCCTTGCTGTGGGCAGGTGAGTGGGCCCAGGGGAAGAGGCTGGGCAGGTAGAAGCCACTGCCTCCATTGCCTCCACTGGCTCCATTCCCTCCAGGGTTCTCTAATTCCGATTCGAGGTACTGGCTGCAAGTTCAGGAGTCCCTGACAGTGCAGGAGGGCCTATGTATCTCTGTGCCCTGCAATTTCTTCTACCCCAAGAATGGCTGGGCTGACTCTGACCCTGTTCATGGCTACTGGTTCCGGGAAGGGGCCTCTACGTCCCAGGATGCTCCAGTGGCCACAAACAACCCACATCGTAAAGTACAGGAGGGGACCCAGGACCGATTCTGCCTCCTTGGAAACCCCCTGGAATATGACTGCTCCCTGGAGATCAAAGATGCACAGAGAAGGGACTCGGGGGACATACTTCTTCAGGGTGGAGAGAGGGTCTTATGTGAGATATAATTACCTACAGAACCAGCTCTCCGTGCATGTGACGGGTAAGAAATGGGGCCAAGAAAAGGACATATGCCACATGCATGGGTCCTGAGGGCTCCTGGGGCAGGACTAGGAGGGGATCCCTGATTTCCATCCTGTCTGGGGAGGAGACAGCTGGCCTGGAGGTAAAGGCTGCTTCTAGGGGCACACTCAGGTACCATCTCCAGGATCTCTGTCTCTGTCTCTCTCCTCCTCAGCTCTGACAAAGACACCTGACATCCACATCCAAGAGCCCCTAGAACCTGGCCGCCCCAAGAACATTACCTGTAGCGTGCTGTGGGTCTGTAAGAGGGGAACACGCCCCACATTCTCCTGGATCGGGGTTGCCCTCACCTCCTGGGGCTCCAAGAGTCGCTATGCCTCTGTGCTCACCCTCACACCAAGGCCCCAGGACCACGGCACCAACCTTACCTGTCAAGTGAACTTCCCTGGAGCTGGTGTGAGCACAGAGAGGACCATCCAGCTAAACGTGTCTTGTGAGTGCTAGGGAGGGGGAGGCAGGGCTTGAGTGGGATACTTGGGAAGAATTCTTAGAGCCACAGAATCAAGATGGAGCAAACACTCAGGCTCCATCCCCTCGCTCACGGCCACCTCATCATACTGCAGGTGGCCAATTATTTGTTTCTGTTTCAGATGCTCCACACAACCTGACCATCCTCATCTTCAGGGGAAACAGCACAGGTGGGTGAGGTCTGAGGCACAACTGACACCTCAGAGGTCAAATAAGGGAATGTTGCAAGGGTCTGATGGGATGAAGCTCCATTGCTCCTTAATCGCTCCCTGGTCCCAAATCTGCCTCACCCCACCGCCTGGCTGGACTCTCTGGGGTCACTCTGAATCCTAGCTGACCACTCACTGTCACCATGGCTGCTTTCTCTCCCCTGACCTCTCTCCTCTCATTTTCCCATCGGACCCTTTTCGTGATTCTCCACTCTCCCTGTGGCCATGACATCTCTGTCCCACCAGGAGCCTTAGATACAAGTTCCTATAGCTGGGCACTGGGCCCCTGGCTGCTTTCTGCATGACGCCGTGAATAAGCCTGTGCCCTGGTGCTTCCAGTCCTGTGTCTGCCCAGGGATCCTCCCAATCTCTGTCCATCTCTGTCCAGTCCAGATCATCCTGAGCCCCCTCTGCTACCTTGGGGAGGCCTTTCCCACCTGAGCAACCTGAGTCCATATCCTGGATGTCACTTTATTTATTTTTAAGAGATTTTATTTATTTATTCATGAGAGACACACACAGAGAGAGGCAGAGACACAGGCAGAGGGAGAAGCAGGCTCCATGCAGGGAGCCCAATATGGGACTTGATCCCAGGAATCCAGGATCACGCCCTGAGCCAAAGGCAGGTCTCAACTGCTGAACAACTCAGGCATCCCTGGAAGTCACTTTAGACATTTCTGTGCCCCACCCAATGCTCCCCCACGACCAGTGAGTTTTGCAAACTCAACTTCAGGAAAATGTCTTAAGTAACTCTTTCTCCATCCCCACGGCAGCAACCCCACCTCGGGCCTCCACCTTCTCTTACCTGGACATGGTGAGACCACCTACATCTGGACCAGCTTCCTCTCTGGCCTGCCAGTCTCTGCCCCCATCCCCACCGTCCCCTCTAGCCCACCCTGGCCCAAAGGTGCCTCCACCTGCCCTAGGTCTGGCCCTGTTCCTCCCCTGTCTAGACCCTCCCATGGTTCCCTGTGGCCCTCAGAGGAAAGCCTGGGAGCAACACCTGTGTGCGAGTCTCCAGGTCAGACCTACGTGTGTCCCTGCCCCTCTTCAGAATCATACATCAAAGGGCACCGCCTCCTGGGATGTTCTCTGCCATGTCCAGACATGCCAGCTCTCGCTCAGGGAGCCATCCACCTGTCCTGGGCTCATTTGGTACCATGCCTTCTCCCCACCCCACCAGATGGCTTGTCACTCTTACTTGCCTTTGCTGGTAACACTTGTCTGAGAGACACTATTTTCCACACCCGTGTCTGTGGAAGGCCAGAGGGAGAGAAGGGGCCCTCATCTGTGCCCTTCTGGCTCTCTCTGTCCCCTAGTACCAGAGGCCCTGGGCAATGCCACCTCTCTGCGAGTTCAGAAGGGCCAGTCTCTGCGCCTGGTCTGTGATACTGACCACAAGTTCCCTGTGATGCTGAGCTGGTCCCGAGGAAGCCTGACCCTAAGCCCCTCCAAGCCCTCGGATCCCAGGGTCCTGGAGCTGCCCCGGCTGGTCCTGGGCGATGAAAGAGAATTCACCTGCCGAGCTCAGCACTTGTGGAACTCCTACCACGTCTCCCTGAACCTAGTTATGCAGGGTGAGTATGTGCGGGACACCTGCATTCTGACAGGGGGCTGTGAATGGGACTAAGGTGTGGAATTCAGGAAACTCCCTCTCAGTGAGTGGGTGGCTCAGTTGGTTAGGCGTCTGCCTTTGGCTCGGGTCATGATCTCAGGGTCCTGGGATTGAGTCTATCATTGGTCTCTCTGCTCAGAGGGGAGTCTGTTTCTCCCTTTGTTTCTCCCTCTGCCTCTTTCTCTGTGATTGTCTGGCTCTCACTCTCTCTCAAATAAATAAAACTTTTTTTTTTAAAGGAAACTCACTCTCCTCCTCCTCTCTCTCCTCCTCCTCTAGGTACCTCCAGTTCCTGCCCCCAGAACTCAGGGGAGCAGGGGGGAACCTGGCCTCTGGTCCTCACCCTGATCAGAGGGGCCCTCATGGGGGCTGGCTTCCTTTCCACCTATGGCCTCACCTGGATCTACTATACCAGGTGAGAAGTCCTTTCTCACAGCATCCCAGATTTTGGGACACCTTGGGTGGTTTCACTCTTCTTGTCCTCTCCAGAGCAAGCTACCCACAGAACTGGCCTCTTATCTCAGAATTGTGTTTTCCCTACAGGTTCAGAGGCTCCAAAGAGGGTAAGTCTGCAAGTTGTAACTGAGGTTCTGTCAAACCACAGTATCCTAGACTCACCCCTGCACTGCTCTGTGGAACAAGGAAATACTAGAGGACTCGACCCCACCTCCTCTCCAGAAATAATACCTCTTCACCTCTGATCCTTAAGATTCTTCCTGATGGTTCCACATCCATGGTGGGGAGGGTGAATGAGGACATAGACAGATATTTTTGTTATTATTGATTGAATTATGTATACTCCATGTAATATTTTGCTTCTGTGTGCTTATTGTAATTTGACTTGGATAAGTCCAAAATTCAACCCCATAATATATTGTTATAAATCTCATAATATTTCTCAAAGCAGTGAATTTTAGGACTGCCTGGGTGGCTCAGTGGTTGAGCATCTGCCTTTGGCTCAGGGCATGATCCTGGAGCCCTGGGGTCGAGTCCCAAATCAGGCTCCCTGCATGGAGCCTGCTTCTTCCTCTGTCTATGTCTTTGCCTCTCTCTCTCTCTCTGTATCTCTTGTGAATAAATAAATAATCTTAAAAAAATAGCTAAGCAGGGATCCCTGGGTGGCGCAGTGGTTTGGCGCCTGCCTTTGGCCCAGGGCGCGATCCTGGAGACCCGGGATCGAGTCCCACGTCGGGCTGCCGGTGCATGGAGCCTGCTTCTCCCTCTGCCTGTGTCTCTGCCTCTCTCTCTCTGTGTGTGACTATCATAAATAAATAAAAATTAAAAACATTAAAAAAATAGCTAAACAGTGAATTTTAAAGAGATTTTTTAAATTAGAAAAATAAACTATTTCATATTTATCCACATATTAACCATTCAGTAGCTTTTCATTCCTTCGTATACCTTCAGGTTTCACTTTCCTTTTGCCTGAATCTTTCTTGTGATTGTAGGTATGCTGGTGGCGAATTCTCTCAGCTGTTATTTATCTAGAGGAGTTTCTGTTTTCCTTAGCTTGCAAAGATATTTTTTATGGGATAAAGAACTTTAGGGTAACATTTTCTTCCCTTTCAGTTCTTCAGATTCTTTTGTCTTTCATAGTTTCTTGTGAGAATTCTGTAAAGTTTTTCCTTCCTTCCTTCCTTCCTTCCTTCCTTCCTTCCTTCCTTCCCTCCTTCCTTCCTTCCTTCCTTTTTTTTTTTCATCTGTAGTTTGTCTTTTTCTCTGGCCAGTTTTAATATTTTCTCTTTTTTCCCTCGGTTTAAATAATTTGATTAATATATGCCTTGGTGTGTGTGTGTGTGTGTGTGTGTGTGTGTGTGTGTGTGTGTGTTGAGAAGGGACAGGGAGAAAGGAAGAAAGATATTATCCTGTTTGGCATTTGCAGAGTACCTTGAGTCTGTGGTTTTACAATTACAATCAAATTTGTAAAAGTGAAGCCAATATTTATTTAAATGTATATATATTCTATTCTTCCTTTCTCTCATATTCTCTGGGCCTCTCCTTTTACATATGTTATGTGGCCTGATGCTATCTCACAGGGCCCTGAACATCTGTTTGCCATTTTACAGACCCTTCCCCACTCTGTCTGCTGTTCGAACAGGATCTACTGCTACATCTCCAAGTTTGCTGATCATTCTTCTACAACGTTGAATCTATTGTTTATCTCATTCAATGGAACTCTCATTGCAGATAATGTATTTTCTTCTTTAAAAGTTACATTTCTCGGGGGCACCTGAGTGGCTCAGTCATTTGGTATCCATCTCTTGATTTTGGCTCAGATCATGATCTCAGGGTCATGAGATCCAGCCCTGCATTGGGCTCTGTCCTTAGCAGAGTCTGCTTGAGATTTTCTCTTCCTTTCCCTCCACCCTCCCCTGCTCTTTCACACACACATGTATGTGCTTTCATCTCTCAAATAAATAAATAAACTCTTTTTAAAAAGTCACATTTCCAGGACACCTGGGTGGCTCAGTGGTTGAGTATCTGCCTTTGGCTCAGGTCATGATCCAGGGGTCCTGGGATTGAGTCCTGCATTGGGCTCCCCTCAGGGAGCCTACTTCTCCTTCCACCTATGTCTCTGCCTCTCTCTCTCTCTGTGTCTCTCATGAATAAATAAATAAAAATCTTTTTAAAGATTTTTTTTTATGTGGCTGACTGCTTGGTTTTGTTTTATTCCTTAATTAATTAATTAATTAATTTACTTATTTTTAAAGATTTAATTTTTTTATTCATGAGAGATACACAGAGAGAGGGAGGTGGAGACACAGGCAGAAGTAGAAGCAGGCTCCATGCAGGGAGCACGATGTGGGACTCGATCCCGGGTCTCCAGGATCACGCCCTGGACCGAAGGTGGCCTAAACCGCTGAGCCACCCCGGCTGCCCTAAAAATCTTTTTAAAAAGTTACACATCCTGTTTTTAATCTTATACTTCTTTGCTTATTATATAATGGTAATTTTTTCCTTTACATCCTTCAATATTTCTGGCACATACTTGTAATAACTCTTTTAATGTCTTTGTCTCCTAGTTCTGCCCTCTGTGTCATGTCTGACTCTGATTCCACTGGAGGACTTTTCTCTTGTTGAGTGTGTTTCTCATGTGTTCATACTTCTTTGAGTGTCTAGTAATTTTCATCGAATACTGGAAATTATCAATTTTATGTGGCTGACTGCTTGGTTTTGTTGTATTCCTTTATTTATTTGTTTATTTTTAAAGATTTTATTTATTTATTCATGAGAGACACACACACAGAGAGGCAGAGACACAGGCAGAGGGAGAAGTAGGCTCCATGCAGGGAGCCCGACGCGGGACTGATCCCGAGATTCCAGGATCACGCCCTGGGCCAAAGGCAGGCGCCAAACCACTGAGCCACCAGGGATCCCCTGTTGTATTCCTTTAAAAAAACACTGGTCATTTTTTTAAAAGCAGTTAAGTTACTTGCATGTTGGACCAATTTTAAAAAATATTTATTTATTTGACAGAGAGAGAATGAAAAAGCACAAGCAGGAGGAGGGGCAGAGGGAGAGGGAGAACAGGCTCCCTGCTGAGCAGAGAGACCCATGTAGGGCTCAATTCTAGGACCCTGGGATCATGACCTGAGCTGAAGGCAGGCGCTTAACTGACTGAGTCACCCAGGCACCTCTGGGCCATATTCCTAAGATTCTTTAATTTTCAGCTCCTCCTAAGACAGGTCTAGTGTTTGACTAATTTTCTTTCACTTGAATGCCATGGCCCTTTTGGTGATTTTACTGAATGCCCCATGGATTCAAGGAGGTATTTTCACTCTGGCTAGAGGGAATATACACAAGATCAAGCCCTTTGTGAACATTGGGAATCTCCCATCTAATAACTCTCCAGTAATTATTCTCCCCTTAGAAATTACTCAGGGCACCTGGGTGGCTCAGTGGTTGAGCAACTGCCTTTGGTTCAGGTTGTGATCCCAGGGTCCTGGGATCAGAGTCCCACTTCAGGCTCCCTTCAGGGAGCCTACTTCTCCCTCTGCCTGTGTCTCTGCCTCTCTTGTGTGCCTCTCATGAATAAATAAATAGAATCTTTAAAAATATATATATTCTCATTTGGCCTCATTGGGTTTTACCCTGTGCACATGTAGATTGCTATTTTCCAACCACTCAAGGACCTTTCTTGGAGACCTTGAACCCTTTCTTCACAATACTCTCTATTGTCTGAAACTCTGACCTACATATGTTAGCTATGTCAGTCTCCTTATCCCTCAAGTTTGTCTCTTCAACCCAGTGAAGTTTCAGTCCCCCTCCCTTTTTTAAAGATTTTATTATTTATTCATGAGAGACAGAGAGACAGAGACACACAGGCAGAGGGAGAAGCAGGCTCCATGCAGGGAGCCTGATGTGGGACTTGATCCCGGGACTCCAGGATCACGCCCTGGGCTGAAGGCAGGTGCGAAACTGCTAAGCCACCCAGGGATCCCCATTTTCAGTCCCTTTTATTATGACCTCATCCCCTTCTCACTCTGCTAGTTGCAAACAACTGCCTCACAAAAAAACTGGGTGATTTTATGGTTCACCTCATTTTTGTCCTCTCAAGGATCACAGTTCTTCCCTGCCTGTGTTTCATGTATGAAAACAGAGGCTTCTTATATTTTGTTTGGCATTCCAGTTTTTTACAGGAGGAGAATTCTGGACCCTATACTCTCTTATGCTAAGAAGCAGAAGTCCCCAGCAGACCTTTTTTTTCTTCTTAAGATTTTATCCATCCATTCATGACAGACACACAGAGAGAGGCAGAGACAGGCTGAGGGAGAAGCAGACTCCCTGAAAGGAGCCCGATGTGGGACTAGATCCCGGATCCCGGGATCACGCCCTTGGCCAAAGGCAGACACTCAACCACTGAGCCACCCAGGTGTCCCCCAGCAGACTGTTAATAACTGCTTTATGGAGGTATAGCTTATACAGTGTAAAATTAATTCATTGTAAGTGTACAGTTCAGTGATTCTTGGGTAAATTTATAGAGTTATATAGTCATTGTCACACATTTTGATTAGCCTAAAGAGGACTCTTATGCCCATTTGCAATAAATACCTCTCCCTTCACAGCTCCAGGAAATCATTGATCTGCTTTCAATCTCTAATGAACTGATGAACTGTTTTTATAAATATTTCACATACATGGAATCACATAATGTAAAGTCTATTGTGTCTGCTATCTTTCACTAAGTATTACATTTCTGAGGTTCAACCACGTTAGAGCACACACTAATAGCTAATGACATTTTGTTCTCAATATTATTACATTGTGTGAGTATATACCACATTTCATTTATGTGTTCACCAGTTAATGGACATTTCAATCGTTCCCAGTTTTGGCTTTTAAGAATAATGTTGCTGGTTCCCCTTCCATCCCTATTCCAGTTCAGGATAATGGAAACTCTATTCCAGGTAGGTAGAGCAAGAACACAAGGCTTCCTCTCCTCCAAGTCCCAAGTCGAGAATTATGGTACCCTCCCAGGAAAGGGCAGGCTGCCAGTACTTTTCATTCCCTGCCAGCTGTGTGTTAAAGGGACTAAATATCAGGTGAATATAGCTGAGAAGGTAGGGGCTCTCTTCCTCAAGCTGCTCCTTATCCACACGGCCAAGACTCTAGCTCTGAACACTGGCATTGATAGGAAAGGGCATGATGGACAGTATTTTCTAGAGTCAGAAGTGTTCAATCACCTTGGTAAGGGTTTTAGTTAGATGAATATATGCCAGTTTACCAAGTGATGTCTCAGCTCCAGTAGGTATCTGTCTTAGTCAGTTCAGGCTGCTTTAAAAGGGCACTACAGACTGGATAGTTTACAGACATCAGAAATTTATTTCTCACAGTTTTGAAGGCTGAGAAATCCAAGATCATATCTGGCACCTGGTGAGAGCACATGTCCTGGTTCACAGGGACAAGGGTACTTTCCGCAGTCTCTTTTGTAAGGGCACAAATCTCATTCAGGAAATGACCCTCACAACCAAATCATCTCCCAGATGTCCCCTCTCCGAATACCAACACACTGGGGAATAGGGCTTCAGCATATGAATGTTGGGAGGAATACAACATTCAGTCCATAACAAAGGTTAAAGCTGTAAATGATAAATATTCTGCAGTCATTCATGTTATCCTGGACTGGGGTGGGGATGGGGGCTATGTCGTCATTTTGTGGCTTAGACAATGTGTCTGTGTTAAGGCATGACTATGGAGTAGTCTTATCCTTATCTTATTCTACTCCAGTCACAAAGTGGGTTTGTCTGGTGTGAAATCCTGTGAAATCATTTATATTTAATAGGAGAACACCAGGGCCTGCCTGTCAATGCCAGCAGAGGCTGCTTTACACTTTATTAAAGGGAAAAAAATTAAAGTAAAGAGATAGTAAGCTGGGGAAGTAAACAGGAACCAGATCACAGAGAGCCTTGGGTCTTCACATAAAGAGTTGGTATTTCACTCTGGAAAACAGATAGTTGGAGATCCGTGGGTGGCTCAGTGGTTTTGCGCCTGCCTTTGGCCCAGGGCATGATCCTGGAGTCCTGGGATTGAGTCCCACATCAGGCTCCCTGCATAGAGCCTGCTTCTCCCTTTGCTTGTGTCTCTGCCTCTCTCTCTCTCTCTCTCTCTCTCTCTCTCTCTGTGTGTGTGTGTGTGTCTCTCATGAATAAATAAATAAAATCTTTTTTAAAAATAGAAAAAGAAAAGAAAATAGTTCACACGGACTGTCAAAACACATGCCAGTGAATAGCAATTACATCTGAAAACAAAGCACTGAACTTACAAAATTTTTCCTTATACTAGAAATTAGCAAATCCAAATTTATCCTGTAGTAGTATTTCTCTCACCTTCTTGCTTTTTAATACGCTATCTCCACTTGAAGAGAAAAGGGTGAAGGTCCAGCTGAGAACACAACCCCAACCTAGACAATTCGAAGATGGGACCTGATAACACCACATGCTATATACTGTGTCCCCCCCATCAATCTGTATGTTGAAATTTACCGGACCCCACATGTGATGGTAGTAGGAGGTGGTGCCTTGGAGAGGTGATTAGGCTGTGAGGCTGGAGGTCTCCTGAATGGGACTTAGTGCCCTTGTAAAAGAGGCTCCAGAGACTCCCTGGACCCTCCTATCACCCTGTGAGGGCAAGGCAGTCTAGAAAGTTCTCCTCTGTGAGTCAGGAAGTGGGCTCTTCCAAGATACAGAATCAGCCAGCTCCTTGATCTTGGACTTGCGGCACCCAAGACTGTGAGAAGTGAAAGTTCCCTGCTTAAGCCACCCAGTCTGTGATATCTCTGTTACAGCCCAGATGAAGCCATCACAGGAACATGTTTTCCCCCCCTGGCTGTCACATGGTGAGTGTGCCTGGGCAGGACTCCCATTTGAGAATGATGTGTGAGCATGGGACAGTACTGAAGTGTTTTATTTGTTTATTTTTAAATATTTTATGTATTTATCTGAGAGAGAGAGAGAGAGAGAGAATGGGAGAGAGAGAATGAGGAGGGAGGGATGCAGAGGAAGAGGGAGAAGCAGGCTCCCCGCTGAGCATGGAGCCAACTTGGGGCTCGATCTCAGGACCCCAGGATCATATACTTAACTAAGCCACCCAGGCGCGCCAGGCGCGCCTACTGAAGTGTTTTAAATTTGGGGAGGGTGGGTTTGCAGTGAGGGAAGGAGAGTGGTCACGGCAACTTCTTTAATAGCTTTCCCCCACCCCCCGCAGAGACTCGGTCTATTGAGATGCAGTGAAAGAACAGTCATAATTTGCAGGTGCAATGAGAATCAATGTAGCCTCTTGGGAAGAGCCGCGTTTGCAAATATATGCAGCACCAGGGAAATAGTCCCCGTGGAGCTGCGGCTTCTCCAGCACCAGCACCACCAGCTGCACCGGCCCTGGTGCCCGGGGCTCCGCGGGGGTCCTCAGCGCTTCGGAGGTGGCGCGCCTCCTGGCGGCGGCGCCCTGAAATGCGGTGGAGGCGGCGAGGCACCGGGTACAGGTCCTTTGCGGACAGATGACAGGAAGAGGACGGTGTGTGTGTGTGTAAGGGTTGGGGAGGATAAGATGCCCCTTTCCCCTACTAGAGTCTCCTCGGCACTCAGGGCCTCAACTGCAGCCAGTCCCCGACTCTTCATCCTTAACTGGGACCCTTTCCTACATCCCCTCGATGCTTCGCTCCAGTCTCAGGCCCACACCCCTGCTTCCTCCCCAGGCCCAGTCCGGAGCTAACTACCTCTCTCTTCCCTCTCAACTTCTCCCGCCCCATACCCGCCCGCCACCTCTGTCTCACTTCCTCTCAAAGTCTATCTTAGCGCCTCCGTTGTGCATCAGGGGTAGATGGAGCAGATGCAACATTTGTCAATGAGAGGAGAGGGGAGGCCTGCAGAGCTGCGTAGTTTTTTGTCTTTTTTTTAAAGATTTAATTTATTTATTCATGACAGATACACAAAGAGAGGCAGAGACAAAGGCAGAGGGAGAAGCAGGCTCCCTGAGGGGAGCCCGATGCGAGACTCGATCCCAGGACCTGGGAATCCCGACCTGAGCCCGAAGGTAGAGGCTCAACCACCGAACCACCCAGGCGCCCTTGTTCGTTTGTCTTAAAGGAATATGTTCAGAGAGAATCTGAACACTCCTGGGCAGAGAAGAGAGATGTTAGATGAAGGAAAAAGATTTCTGGGGGCCTTGGGTAGCCACCTGGCTCTTGTCTGGGCAAGCCTGGGAGAGGGGTGGAGGTGGTTTGGTCACTTAGAGGAAGGGCCCCAGAAGCCACAGGAAATTCAGAAGGCTGTGGAGGAGGGGAAACGTGGACGACTTCGAACTCAGAAGGGTAGGAGGGGCAGCCCCCCCCCAACAGCATTCTGGACAACCCCTAGTGTCATCCCCCCTCCAGTCCCCAGGTGTGAACAGACTTGCTGTGGGTGAGAAACACAGTGGGGATCCCTGACAGAATGCGGAAGCAAAGCAAAAGAGGGTTCAAAGTGAGCTTGGGGAGGTCATAGTGAGATAGGGTGAGCAGTTTGGGTGTTCTCATGAATATAGCAAGACACCATTGAAACGTTTAAGTAAGAGAGGGACCTGGATGGATTTATATTTGAAAAATAATAACTCTGTTGTGTTGAGAAGCCACCATGGAGGGGGCAGAGTGGGAGCAGCGAGAATAATCAATCACTGCTGTCACACGGAGGAGTGAAGGTGGTGGCTGGGATGCGGGCAGTCATTCTTCATCAAGGGGTAGGTTGCCATCGGAGGATAGGCGGCGATGTCTGGAGACATTTTTAGTTGTCCCAGTCCCAGCTAGAGTGGACGGGGTGCTGCTGGCATCTGAGGGGTGAGGCCAGGGCTCTTGTTGGACATCCTGCCATGGTCCCTATCCCTCCCCTCCCAGAACCATCAGACTCAAAATGTCAATAGTGCTAAGACCGATACATCTTGCAGGAGGTAACGAATGGTAGTGGGGGTGGGGGTAAATGGATAGAGTTTTTTAATACCTAAGAAGTTGAGCTAATGGGTTTTGTGGGTAGTTGTGTATGGAGTGAGGTAAAGGAAGCAGTCAGGACTTGGTGACACATAAAAATATTTAGATAGCCGGAAAGGTTTGTGGTGAGAAATAGGGCTGCACGAAGCACGTTAAGTTTGAGATGCACGTTACAGATTTCTGAGCAGGTGTCTAATAGACTCATCAGACTGTTTGTTGTTGCTGTGCTTTGGGATTATCTATTTTGGTTTGCTTTAAAACATTTTTTTAATTTAAATTCAATTTGCCAACATATAACACCCAGTGTTCATCTCATCACATGCCTTCCTTAGTGTCCATCACCCAGTTACCCTATCCCCCCACCCACCTCCCCTTCTGCAACCTTTTGTTTCCCAGAGTTAGGAGTCTCTCATGGTTTGTCTTCCGTTCTAATTTTTCCCCACTCAATTTACTACCCTTTCCTTATGGTCCCTTTCACTATTTTTTATAGTCCATATATGAGTGAATATTTTAGTTTGCTTTTAACTTCATTTTGAAAAAACTATAGACTCATAGGAGGTTGCAAAGAAATGTACAGGGACATCCCAAGGATTCAAACCTTCTCCCCCTGCCATATTATCATCTTCCGCAACTAAGGACAATATGAAAATCAACGATTTGGGCACCTGGGTAGCTCAGTGGCTGAGCATCTGCCTTTGGCTCAGGTTGTGATCCAGGGGTCCTGGGATGGAGTCCCACATCAGGCTCCCATCAGGGAGGCTGCTTCTCCCTCTGCCTATGTCTCTGCCTCTCTCTCTGTCTCTCATGAATAAAGAAATAGAGAAAGAAAGAAAAGAAAGAAAGAAAGAAAGAAAGAAAGAAGAAAGAAAGAAAGAAAGAAAGAAGAAGAAAGAAAGAAAGAAAGAAAGAAAGAAAGAAAGAAAGAAAGAAAGAAAGAAGAAAGAAAGGAAGAAAGAAAATCAGGGAATTGTCAGTAGCACAATCAGAATAAGCCCATATGAAGACTGGGGCACCCTTCCCTCCCTCTCCCTCTTCTCTGTGGGAGGCCCTTCCTCTCTGAGTTTGCGTTGTAACCCCTGGACAGGAGGCTCCCTGGGAGAAGGGATCCTGGGTCTCCCCTGATAAAGCCCAGGTTGGGGAGCAGGGACCTGGATCAGAGTGCCAAAGATGGATATTATGGACTGACTGAATTGTGGCCCCTGCCCTGGTCATATGTTGAAGTCTTTTTCTTTTTTAAGATTTTATTTATTTAAATCATGAGAGTCACAGAGAGTGAGGCAGAGACATAGGCAGAGGGAGAAGCTGGCTCCATGCAGGGAGCCCGATGTGGGATTCAATTCTATGATTCCAGGATCACACCCCAAGCCAAAGACGGATACTCAACCACTGAGCCACCCAGGAGTCCCCATATGTTAAACTCTTAACCCCAGGATCTATGATTGTTACTATATTTGGAAATAGGACCTTTAAAGGGGTAATTCCCTTAAAATGAGATCATAGAGCAAGCTCAAATACAGTAGTACTGGTGTCCTCCTAAGAAGACATCAGAGGGGGCCTCTGGATGGCTCAGTCAGTTATTTGTCCAACTCTTGATCTCAGCTCAGGTCTTGATCTCAGGGTCATGAGTTCAAACCCTGAGTTAGGCTCCACACTGGGCGTTAGCCCACTTAAAGAAGGAGAAGGAGGAGAAGTAGAAGATCAGGACACAGACATACACAGAGGGGCCACCCCATGAAGACACAGCAAGAGGATGGTGTCTATACCCCCAAGGTGAGAGGCTTGAGAAGAAACCAACCATGCTGACACTTTGATCTTGGGCTCCCAGCCTTCAGAAGGATGAAGGATAATTTTTCTGTTGTTTAAGCCATTTAGTCTGTGGTGCTTTGTTATAGCCACCTGAGCGCATGAGTACAGTGAACATGAGAGCAAGGACAGAGGCAGCCACATGTCACCTCCTCCAGGAGACCTCTCCTGGCTTCTGCATGAACATCTGTCCCAGCACCGGCAGGGATGAGGGGGTAGGGGGAGTGGTTATGAGCACTTCAGTGCTTTTCTGTTTCTCAGAAGAAGCTTCATTTACCAAAATGGATCCCCTTGAGGTCAGACACTGTGTCTGATTTGCCTGTGTCCCCAGTGTGCAGCATGATACCTGCCACCCCCAGGTTCAGTGGTTGGAACCCTTGTCTCTATGTGGCCAAGGTCATTTCAAGGGGAAGGGCTGGGTGAGGAGGACATCTGGGAGTTTATCCCACTTGCTCCATATCCCCCTTACCTGTGAGAGCAGGTGTTCTTTTCAGAACGAGTATTACAAGTAAGTGCATCCAATCTTAGGGCAGAAGAAAGGGAGCCTGAGAGGAGGACTGAGGTCCTGGGGGTGGGAGCCTCTGGTGGACCAGGGGATCAGTGAGACCACCAGCCAGGATGGAGGGATGGGACAGAGACCAGCCTAGGGTTACCAGATTTAGCAAACAAAAACACAAGGCATCTAGTTAAATTTGAATTTCAGATATGAACAACAAATATTTTTATTTTTAAAGCTATATTTAAAAAAATAATAAAGCTGTATTTATTTATTTGAGAGAGAGATAGTGTGCAGGAGCAGGGAGGGGAAAAAAGCAGAGTGGAAGCCTGCCTTCATGGGGCTCCATCCCAGGACCCAGGGACCATGACCTGAGCTGAAAGCAAGAGTCAGGTGCTTAACCAACTGAACCACCCAGGCGCCCCACAACGAATAATTTTAATACAAGAATGTCCCATTGTAATATCTGGGACATATTTCGTTAAAAAAAATTCATTGTTAAAAAAAAAAGAAAGAAAAAGAAAAAAATTCATTGTTTAATTGAAAGTCAACTTCAGGGGCGCTTGAGTGGCTCCATCGGTTTAGTGTCTGCCTTAGGCTCAGGTCATGATCCCAGGATCCTGGAATCGAGTCCCACATCAGGTCCCCTGCTCAACGAGAGAGTCTGCTTCTCCCTCTCCCTCTGCCCTTTCCCCTTTCTCATTCTCGAGTCCTCTCTCTCTCGTGCTCTCTCTCGAATAAATAAAACCTTTTAAAAAATAGAGAAAGAAAGTCAACTTTATTATTTTTTTTAAAGATTTTACTTACTTATTCATGAGAGACAGAGAGAGCCAAAGACACAGGTAGAGGGAGAAGCAGGCTCCCAGCAGGGAGCCGGATGTGGAACTCGATCCCAGGACTCCAGGATCATGACCTGAGCTGAAGGCAGTCTCTCCACCACTGAGCCACCCAGGTGTCCCAGGAAAGTTAACTTTAACTGGACATTCTATATTTCAAGACCAGCCCTTCCTCCACCCCCAGAATCCATCTCTGCACCAACCACCATCCCTAGAGGCACCTCTCTGAAGAAGGGTTCACTGTGCACTTTCACTTCTGCTTCTTCAGTGACCCAGGGCCAGCCCAGTGGGAGAGCCCCTATCTTCCACCTGCCCAGACCCCATGGCCTCACATGCCATCCACGCTCTCCCCCAGAGCTGGCTCCCCGAAGGACCAGCTCTGCAATCCTCAGCACCAGGTAGGCCCCTGAGGGAAAGACCCAGTCCTAGTGGATGAGGTGGGGTGGGGAGTGGGGAGGACAGGGACTGCCACGTGGGGCCCAGTATCAGGAGCAGTTTACACATCACGGGAAGCTCAGCTTCCTCTGTCTTCTCTGCACGGTGCTTCCTCTTCTGCCCTGCCTGTTGACAGTCACAGCGTCTGGGGAATGAGCCAGTCTGAGAGCAGGTCCAAGGACCTCCTAGTGCAAAGATGCTCCTGCCGCTACTCTTGGCCCTGCTGTGGGGCGGTGAGTGGGTCCATGGCCAGCAGGGGCCTGGATGGGTGGGGGTGGGGTGGGAGAGCCCAGGCAGGGTGGGTGGGGTGGTCTGGGCTGGGGGTGTAGCTTGAATCTCTGTCTCCTTCAGGGTCTCAGGCTCAGGACCCAAGATTCTCACTGCAAGTGCAGAAGGTCGTGAAGGTGCAAGAGGGCCTGTGCGTGCATGTGCCCTGTACCCTCTCCTACCCCCAGATAGGCTGGAGGGATGATACCCCAGCTTTCGGCTACTGGTTCACAGCTGGGTCAGACTCGGCCATCGGAAGGCCGGTGGCCACAAATGACCAGTATCGAGAGGTGCAAACTGTGCCCCCGGATCGATTCCAGCTTATTGGCGATCCCAAGAGTCAGAGTTGTTCCTTGCTCATCAGAGAGGCCCAGGTGGAGGACACAGCCATGTACTTCTTTCGGGTGGAAAGAGGCAGACACGTGCAATACAATTTTGTGAGAAACCAGTTCTCTCTGCAAGTGACAGGTATAGAACTGGCTCCAGCTGGGCAATGGGGTGGGGTCTCTCTGCCTCCCTGCCTTCCCCGCCACCGCTCCCCACACTGGGAAAGGGGAGTCTGTGGGGGAACAGACCAGGGGTCACCCCTTCCAGGGCTAGGATCCTGCCCTCTCTCTGTCTCAGCCCTGACGCAGAAGCCAGAGGTCTTCGTCCCAGAGGTCCTGGAGTCGGGGCGCCAGGTGACCCTCATCTGCGTGTTTAACTGGGCCTTTGAGGAATGTCCAGCCCCTACTTTCTCCTGGATGGGGGCCGCCGTCTCCGACCAAAGGAGCAGACCAACATCCTCCTACTTCTCCATGCTTATTCTCACACCGAGGCCCCAGGACCATGGCACCCACCTCACCTGCCGTGTAGAGTTCGCTGGGAAGGGTGTGAGCACAGAGAAAACCGTTCAACTTAATGTTGCCTGTGAGTCTGGTGGCGGGGCATCAGGGTGCGCAGGCAGGAACGGAGAGGATGTGCAAGTGGAGGGATGTGTCTGGCGGTGGGTCCTGAGAGGCCAGTGTTGAGCCCCACCATGCTGCCTCCGCCCTGAGGGGCTTGGGGATGCAGTCTGCTCCGTGTCCACAAGCATCTTTGGCACTTGTCCGTGGCTTGTGTCCCGCGGATAGTCATACTTTCTTTTCCCGGAGGGTGCTCTCTCTTACTGTGAGGAACTCCTCGTCCCTCCCCAGAGCCAGATCTCAATCTTGTTGCAGATGCTCCCAGAAACCTGGTGATCAGTATTTCCCGTGACAACACGTCAGGTACCTCGGGCCTGAGAGGGAGGGGCTGGTCCTCCTGGCGTCAGGAGGACGAGGGAGGGAGGGAGGCAGGGAGGGAGGGAGGCGGTGCTCCTCCCTGCAGACTTCCTCTAGTTGCTTCTGTCTCTACAGCCCTGGAACCCCAGGGTAACAGCCCACATCTAGAGGTTGAGAAAGGCCAGTTCCTGAGACTGCTCTGTGCTGTGGACAGCCAGCCCCCGGCCACACTGAGCTGGGCCTTGGAGGACAGAATCCTCTCTTGGTCCCACCATCGGGGCCCTGGAACCCTCGAGCAGCACCAGCTGGTGCTGCTCGGGGTAAAGCCTGGGGATTCGGGCCGCTACACCTGCCGGGCGGAGAACAGGCTTGGTTCCCAGAGCCGCACCCTGGACCTCTCTGTGCAGTGTGAGTGCCACTGGCCGGGGGCCTGGTTTCCAGAAAGGGAGAGGGATGAGGGGGGCTGCCAGGGCTGGGGGCAAGGTCCCAGAGCTCTAAAGGCACTCAGAACCCCAGGCCTTTGGGTACTGGCAATTCTCTGACGGCCAGCCCAGTGTTAATTCAACTCTACTGAACGCTGTCTACCTGGAGACATGTCAGATCCCACAGGTGAAGGGGCTCAGTCCAAGAGCCTCCCTCCTCTTCAGAGGCCAGTCACAAGCCCAGGTAGACCAACTGGCTATAGATTGGAGTTTCCCATGACTCTCTCCTTAGATTTAATTTGATAAAGTAGCTCACTGAACTCAGGAATATTTTACTTCCTAGATCACGGGTTATTATGGAAAAAAAAAAAAAACCCAGCAGGTGGAAGAGATGTGTAGGGCCAGGTGTGGGGTGAGGGCCCTAAGCTTCCATGCTGCTCTCCGGGTACGCCCTCATCCCTGCACCTCCACCTGTTCACCGACCTGGAAGCTCTCCAAACCTCATACTTTTGGGTTTTTATGGAGGTTTCAATACAAAGGCAGGATTGAGCAAATGATTGGCCTGACTCCACCTCCAGCCTCCCCAAACATGGAAGTCAGGGGTGGGGTCTAAGTCCCCAAGCCTCAGGTCACAAGGTTGGTTCTCCTGGCAACCAGCCACCAACCTGAGGTGCTTTCCAAAAGTCCCCTCGTTTACATAAACCCAGCTGTGGTGGAAAGGGGTTTGTTAGGCATATCAAGAGAGTTTTATTGGTCTCTTCCTTTAGGACATTCCTAGGGTTTTAGGAGCTCTCCCTACCAGGAACAGGACAGAGGCCAAATATATTTTATAAATTCCAAATCACAGAAACCAGTCCTTCTTACCAGTCTATTCCCTCCGGCCACTCAGGGGAGAATCTGTCAGAGGATGATTCGACCCGCCCCTCCCCATCTCTGTCCAGAGGGATGCCCCTGGCCAGTCTAGAGCCAGTACCCTATCTCTGTTTCAGATGCCCCAGAGAACCTGAGACTGATGGTCCTGCACAAAAATAGGACAGGTAGGAAGGGGAACAGAGAAACTCGGTACTACACAGGGGCATCGGTATCTGGAATATTGGCATGCAAAGGGGTCCCTGTGCCCTCAGCTGACCATCTGTCCTGCCTCTTCCCTCCCCTAGTCCTGGAAAACCTCGGGAATGGCACATCTCTCCCAGTCCTGGAGGGCCAAAGCTTGCATCTGCTCTGTGTCACCCACAGCAACCCCCCAGCCCGGCTGAGCTGGGCCCAGGGGGGACAGACTCTGAACCCTTCGCAGCCTGCAGACCCTGGGATCCTGGAGCTGCCTCAGATACAAATGGAGCATGAAGGAGAACTCACCTGCCGAGCTCAGAACTCGCTGGGCTCCCAGCACGTCTCCCTGCACCTCTCTGTGGTCTGTGAGTGTGGGGACCCCTGGGGGCAGGATGCCCAGGGCCTGGGGAGCAGGGGCACTGCTGACCCCTTTTCCTCCCTCCCTCAGACCCCCCGCAGCCGCTCAGCCCCTCCTGCTCCTGGGAGGGCAAGGCGCTGCTGTGCACCTGCTCTTCCCTCGCCCGCCCAGCCCCCACCCTGCGCTGGCGGCTGGGGGAGGGGCTGCTGGAGCAGAACCACAGCAATGCCTCCTTGACCATCACCTCCAGCTCTGAGGGGCCCTGGGCCAACAGTTCCCTGAGCCTCCGTGGGCCCCTGGGCTCTGGCCTCAGACTCAGCTGCGAGGCCTGGAATATGCACGGGGCTCAGAGCGCCGCCCTCCTGCTGCTGCCAGGTTAGGGGACCAACTGGGTGCCCCCCAGAGGTGGACACAGAGTGGGGCCGGAGCCAGAGTCCTGTGGTTGAAGCAGGAGCTGGCAGAGGACAAGCAACTCCTGTGGCTGGGGATACGAAGGGAAATCCAAATGGGAAGGCCTGTCAACTGGTCCTGGGGTGCAGCAGGGTCTCCATGACTTGGACATGAGGGGTTGCAGATAAAACCTCTGAAAAGGGAGCTGAAAGCCTGAGTGCCCAAGGGCAGGTGGGTGTGAGGCCCCACGTTCATGGGACAGGCTCAGAGATGGCTGTTTCCTTGTGCAGATAAGGGGCTCGTCTCAAAAGCATTCTCCAACGGAACATTTCTGGGAACTGGCATCATGACCTTTCTTTTCCTCTGCCTCCTCCTGGTCATGTGAGTTAGGAGCCAGAGCAATGGCATGTGGGATCTGGGGCTGGGGACAGGGGAGCTGGTGGGGCGTACTTGCAGGTGGGTTGTTTCCCTGGCAGGAAAATTCTGAGGAAGAAACAGACCCAGGAAGGGACTCCAGACCAGGCAGGGATCCCTCCAAGGCCCAGGGCCACACGGAGAAGTACGATCCTGGATTACATCAACGTGGTCCCTAACTCTGGCCCCCTGGTGAGTGGCTCTTGCTGCCTGCCTGTTCTTTTCCTGCTCAGACTTCTACCCTGGCCCCTCTCCTGTCCCAACCCAAGATGGTCCCAACCATCTTCCCAAGGGACGGCAAGGTGGAAAAGGTATGAGTGTTGGATTCAAGTCCTGATTCTGGCACCTACTATTTGTGAGACTTGGACCAAATCATTTGTATCCTCTGAGCCTCCATTTCTCCCCCTGCTTCCTTTGAGAATTGGTTTGAGAGTTAGAACACATACACTTACTCAGAATGGAGTAGCTGACCCATTATTACCACCTTGATGGTGTTACTAATTATAATTAATGATGTGATAATTCTTAATATCACTGAAAAGCAGATTATATTTAGTGATTAAGATCAGGGCTCTGAAGCCAGCCTGTCTGGGTTCAATCCTGGTTTTAACGCTGTGTGTTCTTGGACAAGTCTCTTAATTCTCTGTGTCTTAATTTCTTGAACTATAAAATGGGGAAAATAGTAGTAGTTATTACCTAGGATCATTCTTCATCTTTTTTTTCCACCTAGGATCATTCTAAGTATTCACCTTGCTTATTGTACCTGTAAAACATTTAGAATAGTGCCTGGCACCTAGTTAGGTGTTCTACAAATGCTGGATATTTTCAAGAGAGAACATTTACTGTGATGACTCTAAATTTTACATCTCTCAAGCTCACCCCTGAATCTTAGACTCACAGCCAACTGTTGAGGCAGCATCTCTGTTTGGATGTCTACTAGGGCATCTTGGACTTAGCCTTTCTGAGACAGAACTTATGACTGAGTAGGCTTCTCCTCCACTGGGACTATCTTAACAAATAGCACCATATCTGCCCCGTTGCCTAAGCTGAAATTCCTGAGGTCATCTTTTGCTCTTCTCTTCTCTACCCCACAACCAACACATCAGCAAATCCCCTTCAGAATACACCCAAACTACCTTCCCCAACTCCTGCAGTTCCATGCACCTCCTCACTTCCTGTGTGTCCTCCCTGCTTTCACTCTTGCCCCTCGCCCCTGCACCCCCCCTTTCTCTGTGCCTGGTATTCTTTAAAAGTCCAAACAAGTACATCTAACCCCATGGGATACTTCTCAGCGATCAAAAGGAACAAACATTTTAAAGAAGCTACCAGTTAGGGGCTCCTAGATTGAGCATCTGACTTTGGCTCAGGTCATCCCGGGGTCCTGGGATTGAGTCCTGCATCAGGCTCCCCGCAGGAAGCCTGCTTCTCCCTCTGTGTGTGTCTCTTCCTCTCTCTCTCTCTCTCTCTCTCTGTCTCAATGAGAGACAGAGAGAGAGAGAGAGAGAGAGAGAGAGAGAGAGGCAGAGACACAGGCAGAGGGAGAAGCAGGCTCCATGCAGGGAGCCTGATATGGGACTCCATCCCAGGACTCCAGGATCATGCCCTGGGCTGAAGGTGGCACTAAACCGCTGATCCACCCAGGCTGCACAAATAAATAAAATCTTAAAAAAAAAAAAAAGCTACCAATTGGAAAAACTTAGAGACCAAAAAAGGGGAAAAAAAGCCAACCTCAAATGGTCTTTGCGCATCACTCCATCTTTATAACACCGTGGAAATGGTAAAATTATAGAGATGGAGGACAGATTGGTAGTTGCCAGGGTTGGAGACAGGAGGATGCTGAGGACTTTAAAGGAATAGGAAGCAGGGGAACTTGGTGGTGATGGAACAGTTCTCATATTGAATGGTGGCGGTGACATGGAACTGCCTGTGCCTGTTTGCTCAGGCTGGCACAGCAAAGAACCACAGAAAGGTGGCTTACAGCACAGACATTATTTATTGCCTGTTCCTGCCCCAAGATGTAATTCCCAGTTCCTCAATCAGTGTCTGGCACATGGTAAGTAATCAAGCATTTGTGGAAGGAAGGAAGGAAGGAAGGAAGGAAGGAAGGAAGGAAGGAAGGAATAAAAGAAAGAAAGAAAGAAAGAAAGAGAAAGAAAGGAGAAGGAAAGGAAGAAAGAAAGAAAGATGGTTGTTTTTCCCTCAGGCTCAGAATCGGAAAGCCAAACCAAGCAGCCCTTCTCAGGCCCCTCCTCCGGGTTCCCTGGACTGTAAGAAGAACCAGAAGGAGCTACATTTTGTTTCCCACACTAGCCAAGGACCCAGATCATTCACTCAAGCCTCAGAATCAAATAACCTAGAGGAGCTCCATTATGCCACCCTCCACTTCTCAGACCCCAGGCCGTGGGAGCCCCAGGAGCCCCAGGATACCTATTCAGATTACGCAGACATCAAGTTCCATTGAGGGTCTCCAGGGCGGGAGCTGCAGGGCGGGGATCCAGGGTAAGCAGAATGGAGAGGGTGAGGAGAATAGCAGCCAGTCTCTCTCTCTCTTTAAAGAAAATTAAACTATCTCTTTGTGAGGTGAGCAAGCTAACCTCAGAGGTTAAGTCCTACTGGCTTGCTACCTATTTTTGAGCATAGTGTTTTTTTACACTTTAAATGGTTGGGGAGGGACACCCTGCTGCCTCATTCAGAAGAGCTTGTGACTGGATCTCCCTGTCCTGAATTCGAGCCCCATGTTGAGTGCAGAGATTATTAAAAGAATAATAATAGTAATAAACTTAAAGAAAATAAGTGGTTGGTGGGAATATCAAAAGAAGAAAAATATTTTGTGATATGTGCAAATGATATGAAATTCAAATTTCAGTGTCCATAAATAAAGCTTTGTTGAAGCACAGTCGTGCCCATTCTTTTATGTATGTCTATAGCCAAAGTCAGGCAGAGTGGAGTCTGAAATATATGCTGTCTGGTCGTTTCCAGGAAGAGTCTGCAGAATCTTTAAACTCAGCCACTTATTTTTACAGAAGAGGAATAGAAGCAGATGTTCAGAGTGAGCTCAAGAGCAGCCACTGCAAAAAGAGGCTAGCTGAGTGACAGGACCGGAAGTCCCCAGAGTGAGGTCTCTCTGGGCTAGAACATGGAGGGTGGGGGCAAATGCATTCTCTGACCCATCTAAGGATGAGCAAACACATGAGGGGCATGGAGGTGGAAATACTTTCAAAATGGAATAGAAAACAAACTTCACAATGTGCTCTGAATCAACCTGCTGGTGAAGAGAAAAGATGGCTCTATTTCTCAGAGAGGAACGTTACCCTTTCCTTCCTCCCTCCCCCAGAGATCTGTCCTAATTGCCTCCTAGAAAGCTCTCTTGGGGGATGGTTACTCCTTGTCAGGCTGAAAACTGAGGATCCCAGCATAGATGTTGGGATCTTTGCATTTAAAAAAAGAAAGAAAAAAAATAAAAATAAATAAAAATAAAAAATAACAAAAGAAAGAATGTGTTTTTTTGCCAGCTCCATTCCCAGCGTGGAGCTTGAATTCACGACCCTGAGAATGAGATCTGAGCTGAGATCAAGAATCAGATGCTTCCTTTTTAAAGACTTTATTTATTTATTCATGAGAGATACACAGAGAGAGTCAGAGACATAGGTGGAGGGAGAAGCAAGCTCTCTGCAGGCACCCTGATGTGGGACTCAATCCCAGGACCCAGTGATCTTGTCCTGAGCCAAAGGCAGATTCTCAACCACTGAGGCACCCAGGTGCCCCCAAGAGTCAAATTCTTAACTGACTGAGCCATCCAGGCCCCTCTCCCCACAAAAAACGTTTTAAATTATACAATAGAAAGACCAGAAGAGCTGGGGGGGAAACCCCCACAAAAGTAAAGCAGAAGAGGTTAAGGGTAATGCTGAAAAATATGTATGGGGGTAAAGCAGGTCAAAGAGAGTTTTCTCAGGTAACTCACCTTGTGTAAGTGGCAGTGTAATAAGAGGAAAGGAAGGGGAAGGAAGGAGAAAGTGACATTTTTGAGCACCTACCATGTATCACATTGTAAGCCAATTATTAGTAATTACCTCCTTCAGTAACAACTGGTGTCTGGTAAAGAGTGATGGAATTTTGGAATATAGGTGAAGTCCGGAGCCAACGACCAAGAAAAAAATTCTTGAGATGTCTTTGGTGCAAAATGGTGGCTTTATTAAAGCCTGGGGACAGGACCTGTGGGTAGGAAGAGGGGCTGTCCCAGGCCTGTGAGGGGTGGCTGATTATATACCTGGGAGTTGGGAGAGGTTTGAGGATAGCGTACTGTCTAAGGAATTTTGGAAGTAAAGTTTCCAGGGCCAGAGGGAGCTAGCTATTGTTGGGAAAAGGTCACTTATTACCGTCTAATAAAACCTGAGTCATGAGACACTTTAGATGTGTATCAGTGAGCCATGTGCTTGGAGGATGATCGCCAACATGTATCTTGGGGGTTTACAAATAATGGAAATCTCTTTTTAAAAATACGTTATTTATTTATTCATGACAGACAGAGAGAGAGAAAGAGAGAGAGAGAGACAGAGAGAGGCAGAGACACAGGCTGAGGGAGAAACAGGCTCCCTGCAGGGAGCCTGATGCAGACTCCAATCCCAGGATGCCAGGATCACAACCAGAGTCAAAGGCAGATGCTCAACCACTAAGCCACCCAGGGGCCCAGAGATAAAGGAAATTTCTAAAGGAATTTTTTATATGTTAAAGTAGACTTACAGGCTCCTGGGGGTCAGGCTAAGATTGCCTTTTGCCCTTAGCAAAGTATGAACATCAAGGCGGTTGAGTCTGTAGAAGAATGTCCCTTTGCTATTTTCAAGGACTTGTCAATGTGCTGCCCCAGACTCGTTTCTTGTCCTCAGCTAATCCTGTGTTCCGCCATCAAAGAGTATCCCCACTGGGGATGCCTGGGAGGCTTAGCAGTTTGGAGCCTGCCTTAGGCCCAGGACGTGATCCTGGAGTCCCGGAATCGAGTCCCGCGTCAGGTGCCCTGCATGGAGCCTTGCTTTCTCCCTCTTCCTCTCTCTGTCTCTCATGAATAAATAAATGAAATCTTGTTTTTTAAAGATTTCGTTTATTTATTCATGAGAGACACACAGAGAGAGGCAGAGACACAGGCAGAGAGAGAAGCAGGCCCCATACAGGGAACCCAATGTAGGACTCGATCCCGAAACTCCAGGATCACGCCCTGGGCTGAAGGCAGGCGCTTAACCGCTGAGCCACCCAGGGATCCCAAATAAAATCTTAAAAAATTATAAAATAAAATAAAGCCACACAGGAGAAATCTGTGAAATGAGGTGTGCATCCACCCCCAGCAACGGCCATCTGGCTCTAAAATCACAGCTTTTGGGGATCCCTGGGTGGCTCAGCAGTTTAGCGCCTGCCTTTGGCCCAGGGCGCGATCCTGGAGTCTCAGGATCGGGTCCCGCGTTGGGATCCCTGCATGGAGCCTGCTTCTCCCTCTGCCTGTGTCTCTGCCTCTCTCTCTCTCTCTCTCTCTCTCATAAATAAATAAAACCTTAAAAAAAAAAATCACAGCTTTCTTCACTGTTTTGCAATCCCTCCTGAAGGAGACGCTCTTGAGTGGAAAGGACTCAGAGCCCCAGGTGGGAATCCAGGGCACTTAGCTGGACTGAGATGTAAAAGGCCCATCACTGACCAAGTTTAGAGTGAACAAGATCACGAACTAAAGAGCAGGAGTGCCTGTGTGGCTCAGAGGTTTAAGCATCTGCCTTCGGCTCAGGTCCCAGGACCCAGTCTGAACTGGGGCTTCCTGCTCATGGGGGAGTCTGCTTCCCCGCCCCTGCCCCTCCCCCATTCCTGTTCTCTTTCGTACTCTGTGTCTCAAATAAATAAATAAAATCTTAAAATGAACTAAAGAGCAGGGAAAGGTTTAGAAGGGAAGCCATATAATTTCAAAAGGTTACAACATCGATGAAATGGAAGAAGCTGGTGGTTGGTGGTGGATATGTTAATGCTTTCCAACCTTGTGCAGAGGTGTTTGGCTGAGGTCCTGAGGTCCTGAGGCTTCGTGTCCCAAGTGAGAGAATAACAGGATGTTCACAGATAAACCCCACTTCAGCTAAACCCCACTCAACTTCCAGAGCTATTTCTTTGTGGAAATGTTTGGAACATTGACTAATGTATGTTGAGCACTTAGCCCACATGCTTTGTTTCATGCTTATATTATCCCACTCAATACATAAACTCTTTTTTTAAAAAAAGATTTTATTTATTTATTCATCACACACACACACACACACACACACACACACACACACACGCAGAGGCAGAGACACAGGCAGAGGGAGAAGCAGGCTCCATGCAGGGAGCCGGATGCAGGACTTGATCCCAAGTCTCCAGGATCACACTCTGGGCTGAAGGTGGCGCTAAACCGCTGAGCCACCCAGGCTGCCCCATAAACTCTTTTTAAAAAGGTTTTATTTATTTGTTTGTCAGAGAGAGATAATGAGCACAAGCAGGGGAAGGAGCAGAGGGAGAGGGAGAAGCAGAGTCCCTGTTGAGCAGAGAGCCGTACTCAGGACTCTCTCCCAGGACCCTGAGATCATGACCTGAGCTGCAGGCTGACCCTGAACTGACTGAGCCACCCGGGCACCTGTTAATAAGAAACTCTTAAGGTAGGGACCGCTGCATCCGGCTCTCTGCAGGGAGCATGCTTCTCCCTCTGCCTATGTCTCACCTCTGTGTGTGTGTTTCTCATGAATAAGAAAAATTTGAAAAAAAAAGAAAGAAACTCTTAAGGTAATTTTTGACTGAAGCCTGGGGAGGTCTCCATCTTGGGAGATTCTGATTAACTGGTTCATATAAGGCAGCCAGAAAAGTTTCAGAACTTTAAGAAAGAACAGATATTAATCCAAAAGAGTTCAACAAAACCTCTTAATTTGTCTAAGAAAATAGTCAATAATAACGAGCTGATTCTTGCTCTGGTTTCTTAGCCGCTACTGGCAAGATTTCTTTATCTAATTCTGTTCATCCTTTTGAGGAGTAAAGACCCCTTCTTCCCACCCCCACCACCATAATCTTAGAAAGACAAAAACAAAACAAATCGTCAACGGTGACCAGCTGCATCCTCCCCTCTCTTTTTTTTTTTTTTTAAGATTGTATTTATTTATTCATGAGAGACACAGAGAGAGGTAGAGACACAGGCAGAGGGAGAAGCAGGCTCCCGGCGAAAAGCCGGTGTGGGACTTGATCCCAGGACCCTGGCATCATGACCGGAGCAGAAGGCAGATGCTCAACCACTGAGCGATCCAGGCGTCCTGACTCTCCTCTTTGTATCTGAAATGACTGACAGGTCTCATGTCCAATCACAACTTTCCCCCTCATGTGAGCCACTAAGAGGCAGGTTCTGACTTTTCTCTAATATAAAAATTACAAAGAAGTTAGCATGTAAAAATTCTTATGACATAGGGCCAGATGTGAAAACTGAAGAATAGCTCACAACTTTATTCCTTTTATTAGTCACAACTTATAAAACTTCACTCCTGTGAATGAAATGACTGGAGCTTTGTGGTACCAAGGATCTCTTGGTGACAGTTTAACAAATCACAAGATCACTACACAGCAAATAATGAAGAAGAAGGAGAAAGAAACGAGGAGGGAATGGGGTGCTTAGGTGGCTCAGTTGGTTAAGCACCTGCCTTCAGCTCAGGTCAGTATTCCAGAATCCTGGGATTGAGATCCATCTGGGATTGAGTCCTGAGTCGGGCTCCCTGCTCAGTGGGGAGCCTGCTTCTCCCTCTCCCTCTGCCCACTACCCCCCCTGCTTGCGCTCTCTTTTTCAAGTTAATAGATAAAATCTTTAAAAAAAATCCTGTAAACCA